AAGCTGCTGCTTGAGAAGAACGCCGATGTTAACGCGCAGGGTGGAGACTACGGCAGCGCACTCCACGCGGCTTCTTGTGAAGGCTACAAGCAGGTGGTGAAGCTGCTGCTTGAGAAGAACGCCGACGTTAATGCGCAGGGTGGATACTATGGCAACGCACTCCAGGCGGCTTCCTGCAGAGGCCACGAGCAGGTGGTAAAGCTGCTGCTTGAGAAGAACGCCGACGTTAATGCGCAGGGTGGACACTACGGCAACGCACTCCAGGCGGCTTCCTACAGAGGCTACGAGCAGGTGGTGAAGCTGCTGCTTGAGAAGAACGCCGACGTTAACGCGCAGGGTGGAGACTACGGCAACGCACTCCACGCGGCTTCCTACGAAGGCCACGAGCGGGTGGTGAGGCTGCTGCTCGACTTGGGCGCCAACGACGTACTCTAACACACCTCCCTAGCTGTTGTAAAGTTATGATCAGCTCGACGTAACAAAGCTCTATTTTCTCAAAGGACTCTTTTTGATAGGTGACAAATCCATAACGGCAGTTTTATAGCATATGCTACTCGAATGCGTAGTGTGCGAGGTTTTGGCAACGACAGGAGTGCATAAGCTACCCACTATACCACTACGGATAAGACCAAGCTTATAACTGTAATTAAAGCAAAAGAGGGCACTAATACTAATCTATAACTAGTTACATGTCTTATATACTATAACGTATGGTATCTAATAATGATAATAGTTATCTATAGCAAAAATGTGCTACCAGTTGCAGGGAGTATAGCCCACTCGCTTACGCTGGAGGGTTGCGCGGAAGGCGATAATTTATTGATGGGAATGAAGAGAAGAGGACAGTATGTAGGCCTAAACAGGTTGGCGTCTTGCCAAGCATTGCCCGAAACCTGGCGATCACTCCTTGTCACCCTTAAAAGATCAAACTTAGGCACATCTTTACGGCCGTAATGATTGCAGTGCTCATGCAAAGAGCCATTTGTGTATGACCGTGCGGCAACTGTACCCCCAAGATATGCAGAACCTCTCCTCCACCTTCATATATGCTTGCGACCACGGCTTTCGACCAGTGACACTCGATCCACTTGCCGAAGTGCAAGCTTCGATTTCAGCTCTTGAAATCATGCCAGTCTCTGTCCGCTGCCATGCCCGCTGTGTGAGACCCACCCACCCTACTCTGTCTTAGACGTCTCCTCGCTCATTGTATTTCCATTCAATGTGCTGAAGCGATATTCGGCTACTGCTTGGTATATGTATCGGTTCAGATGTAGTCGAGAAGCAGGAAGGCTTAGTGGGTCGGAGGAGGGATTAACGGCGGGCCTGCGGAGCTTGAGGGCGACGCGATGGTCTATCTCTTTGCCGCGGAAACTTTCGAGCTAGGTATGGTCGTCCATTAGACTGCATCTCGAAGTTGTACGATGGCTGTGTCAAAAGCTGATTTGCGGTTTCGATGCTGGACGCGTTAGTTGACTGGGCAAGCGCCGGCCTGCTCCTAATCTGGAGTCGGATTTTAGGATATGCACAGCCACAGATCCGACAGCCAGCACAAATAAGTTACATCGTAATGATGAGGTGGGATGTGCGGGGTCATCTCGCACTAGCCAGGATTGGTAGAGGTACCGATCGGCGTGGCGACCCTGTATGAATCTGCGCGTCACAGCAGACACAAGGCTGATGATGGCTTGCTAGCATTGCAGTAAGGTTTTAAGGCTCGGACAAGGCCCTTCTACGAGAGTAGGAGTAGTAAGAGCTTCAAAGTGGCGCTGTAGGGAGGGGAGCCTGTTACGCCACGAAAGAAGACTCTTTATTAATCAGGCGCGGAAGCGACGAGGCGAACGTAATTTTTGGGTAAGAAAGATCCGGCATGTTTAGAAGAAGCTGTAGCATACGACTTATATAGATTTATGATAATATTCATGGTGCGGACAGGCTTAGAGCTGCTTAGAGTCAAAGTACCCCTCATATGTCCCGAGGGCGTCCCGCCACCCATGGATGGACATTATAGTGACAAGCCATGCGTCTGCACACATTCGTTTAGCACTGCTTGGTGTACTCCCGCGGGTTTAAAAAATCTAGGCGCCGTGTCAGAATCCATGTGGCATAACCTGAGTTGTCTCTTGGCTGGCTGGCTGGCTCCCTGGCAATGGAGCTACTCCTGACAGTGGTGTCTAGCTTCCAATGGCAATCAGGCAGTGTTATATTCGTAGGCCATGCCTTTAGACTTATGGCCTAGTACTGTAAAGGGAAATTGTGCTGCGTGAGAGATCGCGGGAGCGGCCCGGGGGTAAGCGGAAGGTGTTGGAACCTAAGCACAATTGGCATTCGAAAGCGAGCCTATGCATCTTTTGAAGTTCGAGGTGCATATTGAACTACTCAGCCTGCCCGCTGAGCTTTGGAGGCATTGGGCTGAGCTGAAGTTTGGTGGTAGTCCATCCAAGTTCGAGATCAATTGATCGCCAAAATAAGTGGTCCGCAGCACCCTTACCTTACTAGCGACAAATAAGAGCCTGCCAGAGGCCGAATGTGTTAAGCGAGCAATATTGGATAGCGATTTCGGGACATGGCAACTTCATAAAGACGGCAATGCCGACAAACTCATTTCGGACATGTAAAAAATTTGAATGTGGAGAAAAATCATGGCACCTACCTTCTACGGATTGAGAATGCGGGAAAGATCCTCAAAACCCACAAATTGCATCTTCACGTATCGAACTTCTATCCTAAGCGGTAAAAGGAAAGAAATTTTAGTAAATAAAGGATTGATGATACAGTACTAAGACATATGCTTGCGTACTCCTTGCAACTGCTTGGGGTACCCTTTTACAGTGGTGTCGATGGAGCAAGAGTGAAGCCGGAGCAGCGATATATCCGTGTGCCTAAATTTGCGGACTAATACCGCGCACCATATCAGTTTCTGCAGCTCTCCTGAAGGTTATTGAGAATCGATTAGATTATACAGCTTAGCAAGTTGCGGAGATGCCCGGGGGGCTTGGAAAGAGAGTAGTTTGTTACAGATTCAGAGGATTCTTTGTTTGTGATACGGATGCATATAAACTTCATCTTCTCTATCGCAAATCTATTTATATCTTGAGCCTTATCCCTTACAATAGCGGCCGGAGAACTAGACTGTCTCTGGACTCGCGAGCCTACGTCTTTCCGAAGAAAAAGACGGAATTTCGAATATCATCTGAAGATTCTGGCGTACAGTGTTCAAGTTAGAGATGCTCAGAAGACAGAAACAATTCATGCATACTTCGAGATGAGTGTTTTCGTCAGCCGGTGCTGGAAGCGGCGGAGACGAGAACCTGCCGGATCCAACAGCTCGAATGTCACAAATGGTAGAGACGGCTAGTTGGAGCTGAAGAAATCGGTTAGCCGGTACTCGTCTATCCGAGATTCCGAGACGGCACATCTGATTATCGTGAGCGGCGCTGTTGAAACTTAATGTACTGCAGGTGTATGGATATTGCGTCACAAGCTAGCGAATCCTCGAGGGTTAGCATTCCTTGAGGGTTGGGAGTGTTATGTCCCATGTCTCGAGATCGTCGCCTTTAATATCGCTACAGTAGCTCTAGCTCCCGGATGGGCGCAGGGATAGAACGGACCGGAGAGCATCTATCCACCATCCCACCATCCCACCAGAGATCCGGGGACGAGATTGCTAGGATGGGACACTGGTCAACGCGTCCAGCAGGGATCTAGAGAGCTTGATAGGCGATACAGCTTCAGGAAGTACTTCCTTCCGGCGACCCGGCAGTGTCAGACGTCAGTCATGCACAGTGTTATGTTCTGCATCCAGGTCGATCTTTTGGCGACTGGGTTACTCGGGAACTTCCCTTTCTCGACTTTCCGCTCAGCTCCCGACTCTGCGGCCACCCAGCAGTCCAACAGCATACCTGGACGTGCATCAAGCTAGGGCCAAGCTGCATCGCTGGCTATGTATAGACGTTGAGTGTGATTTTCACCTGTCAGCATAGTTGCCGAGGCGCCTGATATCCTTCCAGATAAGTGCACTATTTTCTGTAGCGCGGCGGGGATCCTGGACGTCGTCCTCATCGCTCTTGCTATCTGCAGTAAGCTGGCGTTCTTCGAACCGAGAGGCCGAATTTGTGAAAGTTTCGTGCATGTCGCTATGATCGGAAATGGAGTTGGATTCCATTCCGTCCTCGTTCATTGGGTCTGGACCTGGGGCGTCTTGGCATAGCAGATCGCCTATCCAAAGCGCTACCATGTCTCGAAGTTGGAGGAGGTCTGGTCTTTTGTCGAACGGAGGCGCGCCGAGCAGCTGATCGAGACGCTCGGCTATTGCCCTTGCACGCTTCAGTTCTACGGCTATAATCCGCCGCTCCTCACTTGACACATGCCCATTGAAGGGTTTGTTAATATGAACGTAAGCATCGTCTTTGTATTCAGAGTCGTCCATATCAGAGTCGTCAGAGCCTTTTGAATGAGATGTGGAGGAACGTGGAGCGGATCGCAGACGTTCTTTGGCAATCTTGCTCTGCTGCGAGGCTTCGTAGATCCATAGCGAAAACATGGCAGGGTAGAAGTGACCCTGGTTGACGGCGTGTGCATGCATCTTACGAGCCGGGTATTGCAAGATTAACAGATCGTAGTAGTGACGCGCTTGTCTGAAGCCCTCCTCACTGAAGAGGTCCTCTTCAATGCTGGCAGGGAGCTGGTCTGTATGAGATTGGATGCTGGCAGAGTCTTCAACGTGCGCGTCTGGCTGAGACTGTCTCGAGATGCGATTGCGTTGCAGATGGATCTCAGCACCAATCGCCCAGCGTCCATTATGGCGCACGTCTATTGGCCTGCCGCGGGCATGGGATCTCAGCAGCATGCCCCAAGCTCTGCCGGCGCGCTCGTAATCCCCCTCAAGCAAACAGCGATGCAGCATGGTCGTGAGATTGCCAATATGGGTTTGCCGCAGCGTATCCTGCTGGCCGATGCCATCGACACGCTGCGTAGCCTTGGCCGCCGCCGCAGCATACAGCGGCGGCTCCAGGGCCGCAAGCTCTCTTTGCACATGTGCGGCGGTGGTCTTGGATCCCGGAAGCCTGGAGGGTAGCGGCGCATGTGGAAATGGATTCTTGGGCGCCTGGAAGTTGTCGTCGGGCAGGAGGCCTGCGACACGCAGTTGGGCTGTTTCTGCAGCGCTCAAGGACGCAACTGAGGCCCTGGCACTGGGTGATTGCGTGTTTGAGGTCGCACCCGCGTCAGTGTCATCGTCCGGGGAGCTTGGAGGCTCGTCGTCGTCCTCGTGCCGTTTCCTCTTCCGGCCGCTGGTGTGGAGTTTCTGGTAGTGGCTGGCGCGCAGTGAATATGTCGTTTGCCGGCTACCGTCGAAGGGCGGGACAAAGTATTGCATGTTTCCAATAGAGTGGCCGTGGCCCCAGCGCGTGGCAGAGATACAGATCTAGCGATCGTTCCAATGCGGCGTACATATGGTGGTGGCTCGAGCGATAGCGGACAAAAAGCAAAAGAAGTCGGGCGGGCGCTGTCAGAGACGAACGTTTCTCAGCACTCCCAAGTCAGCCCACGAATCTGCCGCACGTGACTGGCGCTTAGCGCTTCTCGCCGTTCATCATCCGTCCAGCTCAACATCAGCCTTCACGCTCACCCCACGACAACCACCCCCCTCCACCCCCTTGCGACTACTCTACACCACGCTGCTCTTCCGAGATGGGCCAAGCCAGCTCTCGAGGTGCGGCCGACGCTCCCGAGCGTCGCAGCAGAAGTCGCCCCGCCTCGTGGGTGCTACCAGACCGCTCAGCGCTTGACACCGCGCCGCAGACCTTTCGTCCCGCTGCACAGCGCCTGCGACCCTTCAGTAGGCTGTCCCCTGAGGTCTCAGATGCTGGTTCATCTGCATACACTACCGACCTCGCCCGACGTCCCTCGCGGATGAACAGGACCCGATCCTCTCTCTACGCTTCCATCCCAAGCCTCTTTCACCGCCGCAACACCACCCGACCTCATACCGAACCAGCCTTCGAATCAATCCCCGCCCCCTCCTACCCTTTCTATCGCCGCCCCAGCACCCCTCGACATGCCGCCACCGACCAAGGCTTCCTCCCGCACGTCCAGGTGCCAGAGCTGGATCTCAGCTTCGAACAGATTCCAAATCATCTCGAACTACCCCGCCTTTCTTCCCCGAGACGTGAGCTCTCAAGGACCGCCTCCATGTCGGACAGGCTCTCGTCTCTCAGGCCGGACAGAGGAATACGAAGCATGACAAGTTCTTTAAGACGACGGAGATCACCGCTTCAAAGCCGTGAAGAAGATCAGGCGGCCAATTTATCACGGCTCCTGTCAGTGGCAGCAGCTGCAGCTGCAGCATCTTTGATGAGCGATGATCATAGGGCCGTTTCAGAAGCCCGAAGTGTTGCTGGGGATGGCGAGGACGGGACGTTCGACAGCTTCCTACAGGCTCTACAAAGTGGCAGGATAGCTTCGGCCCTGAGACAAAGCAGCAATCAAAATGAGGATGGCGTCGATACACCAGGGGCAGGCCCGGCACCTCTGAACGTTTTCCGCATGTTCAGATTTGGATCATCAACGACAAATCGCAGGAATGATGGAACTGTCAGATTGAGGAGCAGTCGGAGCAGTGGCATGGGGTCTCCGGATAGTCAAGCTAGCGATGACGACGAGCCCGATGGACGTATGGTTCCTATCATAATCGTTGGAATCCGATCTATCAACCCAGGTAGCTCTCCCTTGGATGACAATATCCCGCCATTCCTTGATGCTCTCTCTACTTTTCCAACCCCTTTGGCTTCTCCCTCCGGCGAAAACACAATCGATGGTATACTACGGCAACCCCAAAATAGTACTAGATTCAGTCACAGACGTCGGGCTTCTCTGGGGGGTATGAACACGTTCCCAGCTGGATACGACAGCCAAAGGCATCATCGGTCTCCAGAACGACCTCGGCCTTGGTCTACCTTTACCGACTCTCCTTCGGGTCCACTTCCTCCCCCAACTACTCCGGCTAGTGCCGGACTGTCCGCCGTTTCGTCAGGTGCTAACACTCCAGCACGCTCTGCAGCCTCCGCTACACCGTCTGTCCAATCAACTATTCCTTCTCGGCGGGAGAGTCTTGCACGAAGACCTACCGGAGCTAGCCTTGAGGCCACTGCAGAAGAGCCACAGTCACAACAGCGCACGCCTCGACAGCGTCGTTTAAGCGAGTCCGACTTCACGCGGTTTGGGTCTGGTGCTTCGAGGAGAAATGGTGTCGTGGAGCCTGATCATACGCCTGGAGAAGGGGCACGAAGCTGGATCATCTACGTCTTAGGCGGCAGCTATCCCGAGAATCACCCGATCTTGACTACTCCAAGCCTATTCACCGACTCGCCTACTTACGAAGACATGATGCTTCTATCTACATTGTTGGGACCCGCAAAGCCGCCTGTTGCGAGCGAAGACGACGTTGCCTCTGCTCCGGGTCTATACTGGATACGTGGAAGTGCTGGAACTTTGGTTGCTCAATCTACAGATGGTTCCGATAGCATCGACATTTCGCCGGAAGCACGGTGCTTGGTCTGCCTCTGCGACTTCGAAGTTGGGCAGGAGGCAAGAAATCTAATCAAGTGCGGGCATCTGTTCCACCGGGAGTGTATTGACCAGGTATGTTTCCCGCTCTTCCTTCTAGTATCATGGTTAGAACTAACGATGCCTGCTATAGTGGCTCACAACAGGCCGAAACTCCTGCCCTCTTTGCAGAGGTCAAGGGGTGGACGAAAAGTCGGCTGATCAACCCGACGTCGCCGATGCCGACGCCCTACCCACCATGAGGCCATCAACTGTCTCCTAGTTATCTGCACTCGGAAACATGACGTAAATTTTCCCGTGGCCGGCATTCGTTGCCAACGCCGGAGTCTCCACTCCGTCGGTGTAGTATCGAAATAATCTACTACTAGGTCTCTTTTCATCCTTTCACTAAACAATCAAGCGCCTTGAGACGACATTTTTGCTTTCTTGTAAGTTTTAAAATTTGGAACGACATTTTCCTTTCACACATGTGGTATTTGCACCTCGAAGCGGCGTCGCCAAGCTATCTGCGTCTTCTTTCTTTCTGACTTTCGTCGAATCTCTCTCTCATTGTCTTTTACGAAGCGCAAGGCGTTGTCGGCATCTATTTTTCGGATCTGGAGCGAGTGGGTCGGAAGGGGAGACGTTCAATGCATTTATGGGTGGGGCACCAAATATATGGACGGTGCAGAGCGAAAGGCTAGCAGAATGGAGTATGATGGGTTAGCGGAATGGGAATCATTGGGCTGGGCAGGACAGGCGACTGGGAATGTTTTGGGGGACTCTCATTTAGGCAATGGTGCTGAGGAATAGGATGGTGGGTAACGGTGGCCGACGCAGCCAGTGTTTCTGAGGGCGGCTGCCTAACCAGAGCGGGGAATAACTATCTTGCGCAACGACGACTAAATCATGACAACTGCTTCCCTTCTTATGAGTCGGCTTTTGGTGACATGCATTCTGTATGCGTTACTCAATCGTTCTAGATTGATTTGCCCGGATGTGGGTAAAGTAAGCGAAACCAGCATCCCTCGATGACTGCAAAGTTGTGGCAGGATTTCTTGCTGCGTGGCGTAGGCTGTATGTAAGGCTTCCCGCGCCGATCGTTGCAAGCCCGCGATATGTGCTACGGAGGAGTCCTAGATAGAGTGGCCCAAATCGGGATAAAGTAGGCGAACAGACACGAGCAAGTTCCTTGGAGGAGGGTATCCTCGTTATTAGCAGTAAGTTGTGCAGCTTGTTTGGCGCCTTTTGAATATGTAACCTCCATGCGCTCGATCGATTCCTGCTCGCAATGCGCTATGTATTAAGTTACTTTTTTCCGGCTTTCTCCGCTGCTTGCGCGCGATGGATGGAGCACCTGGGAGGTTTGGGTCCCCTTCGGGACAAGAAAGGCGATCCCGATGAATTCCTCGGCTTGCTGCAATCCTTCATGTGCCGTGTTGCGGCACGGCAGGTAGACAGGCAGGCAGGCAGGCACATTCGCCTCTTGATACGACGGCACCGCAGGCCGTAAGCAGTTCCATTCCTGTGAGTCTTGTGCGTCTGTAGCAGGTGCTGTGTCGTGGTAAGCGTGTGGTCCGTGGTACAGCAAGCCACAGTTCGGGACTGCGGGGGTTAGGTTGGGAGTTCTTGTACCGGGCCGGTCGATTCGATGGACTGTAACGGGAGGTTCTTTGGTCGGGCCGCATTTGCGCTTCGGGAGCTGATCAGACCATGCCGAGGAGCGCTGGCCAGGCATTAGAGCGCGTGGTGAGTGGTGCGAAATCCACGCCATGAAGCGGATGGGCGGTCGTGGTTGGATCCGGTTGCTTTTTTGGGCGCCGTTTTGGGCTGGCTGAATTGGCGTTGGGGCGTTTGCGAAACTGCGATTGATTGGGGAGGGAGATTCGGTACGCGGCGAACATTGCATAGGTATTTGTATGATGTGTGTATGTGTGGTCCACGGGCAATCATTGGGGGAGCTTTGGAGTTTGCTTTTTGGCGGATGTGTATGTCAGGGATGAGGCGGGACGCTCCATTTAACGGGCGATAATGGCATATTTTAAGAGCATGTCCACGTTTCTGTGGCGGCTTTGGTTTTGGTGCTTGTGTAAGGAAGCAGGCATTACCTGGATTAGGCTGAGCCTTTGAGAGGGTGTGTACCTAGACTTTGCTGCTGGCGCAGTATGCATGCAGCTACTTCTTTGGAGACCGCTTGCGAGGTAGTGCGGGCTTTGGGAGGGCGCTGGCTGAAAGTGCGATTTGATTTTGAGTTTGAGGGCAGGTCGGCAGGACGGCACCGCAGCGGCGCGTTCTGATTTGAACTCAGATTCGGTGGCAGTCCCTGAAAGCTGCTTACATGGCAGCTTCATGTTGGCTCGACTCATGGGCGACATATAGTGCAGGCTGCGACAGTAAGATCGCCGTATGAATCATTGTGCGAATATACAGTACCAATACATAAGTTTGGGCACTCCTTGCAACCGGCTGGGGTACCCCGACAGGCTTTGTCAACTCCAAACACGATGTAAAGGTCGACGTAGTGGAAACTAGACTACCTTTTGACTAAATGAAGCCATTTTACCTAGGACACCCCTTACAGTGGAATCGAGAAAACAGAGCGAAGCCAAAGCAGTCGCATATCCGTGTGCCCAAACATGTAACCCAATACTGTAGTAATCAGATCAGGCTCGTATTCCATATAAACTTTCTGATCCCGCACGGACTTTGCCATGCGGGCCACCGTTTCGGCCCGGGCAGCGACCCAAATTCAACGACTCGAATCCCTTTTCAATACAAAGGTACCTGTACGGATCCTGTGCCAATAATAGAAAGAATTATGCCCGAGTTGGGACGGGATATTGCGAGTCATTATTTTGCCAATAGGGACCGGAAATTAGGATGGGCTGACGAGGTATGAATGCGTTTGTTCACGAACATGGTTCTCCTTGCAAAGCGTAGATGTCCATCGCCTCGTGAGGATGTGAGTCGTGGTTTTGGGCCGTTGATCCCTAGCAAGCTGCGAAGGTGGGATCCTACCGGTCCATGGACCACTTTGCGCCGCAAGACTGAGAAGAAGCTGACTGACGAGTTTGCACAACTGACATATCATAAGAGTGCAAGAGGAAGACTCGAGATGCCTACAAAGGTAGAGTTGAGGTGGGTCCAAGAAAGGCTAGGGCACCGGGCGAACTCCGGCCCGGGCACTAGGCTAAAGTCGACTTCACTCCATTGGCAGACTATGTGTACATACCATGGCTTCGAAAACCAGTTGCCAGCAACTCCGCGGCCCGGCGGCGTCGACATTGTGATAGCGCCAGAAATCACAGCACTGATTCTTTCCAGCGAGACGCGCAAGTCTCATTTCGAAAGAACATCAGCACTATCACGGCCTCGCAGTCAGTATAGCATCGGAGCACGGAATATTGACTGCCACGCGACCTAGGTAATGAGTCCACATCCCAGGAGTTGCTTGAACGCGCTGGGGCGTGTGTGTGCATTGTCGGTGATGGGACTGCTTCGAGTCACACCTGGTCACGGCGCGCACAGGCATCTCGATCTCACGAATCTGGCGCTCCCAAAACAGGCTGCCAAATTCATGCTGGTGCGTGCAAGCAGCCACTGGCACGAACGGTGTGTCTGTGGGCACCACTTTCTTTGCGTCTGTCTTGTTTGGCTTCGGGATCATCATGCTCGAGCCCTGGCGCTGGAACGTCTGACGGCCCTAGCTGCCCGTTGAGAAATTGCTTCTTTCTACACATTCATCCGAGCCGTCCGCCACCACGCTGGTGCGACTTTGAGTTTGGCCAGGGTGCTGCGTACAGATGTAGGCTCTGGCGGGAGTTGCGCTGACGGGAACGCAAGCAAGGCTGGGCGGATGATGGGCGCCGGGAGGCGGCCGCGCACTAGAGTCATGGACTGACGGTCTGCGATGCGGAATACGGAAGTTTCTAAGTGGCCGCACTCCCTCCCTCGACATGGTGCTCGAATCACGGCTTCTCGTGGCGACGGCAAACATGTCGCAGGGAACAAGCTTGTCCGGCACGTGGAGCCTTCCATGGACGCGGGAGGGCCCCAACGCATGCCATCCCGAGAGCAGACAGCCGGCCGCTCTAGCACCACCGCCGTTCCCAAGAACGGCTCGCCAACCCCACAGCGCCAGCACGCACCTTTCATGCGCCTTCATGCACCGCTCTCGCCAGGTCACATCAGACCGTTCGGTGCTGGGCATGCCGTCATATCAGGTCAGGCCTTTTGCTGCACCTGTGCACTGATCGCTGGACGGCTGACGCCGGCCTCGCTGAGCCCTGACAGTCTATCAGGGCGCGCCGCGCTCCACAGTTGGTATAATCTACATGACGTACAGCTGAGCACGGCAGCTTCCCACCACTGAGACGCCGGCGGGCGAGCCGCGGACGCTGAAACACGGCCTCTTCCGTTCTACAGCCCGGGTTCTCTCACGCATCACGCATCACGCAGCACGCAGCACGTCCTCCAAGAGCAGTGCATGGTCAGACCAACGCGCTCCCAGACGTCTGCGGCCCGCAAAGTCTCCGAGTGTGCATCTACGCCGGGAGCTCCGTGAGCTCCGTGACAAGTTAGTGTACGCATACGACTCTGGGTGCCGTGAGTATCTATATCCCTCTCTGCAAAAGCAACACGGTCGCTGGAACGCAATGCATCCTCTCGGCCACCCATGGCCCTCCACGCGTGCTCGGAGCGCAGAGTGCAGCTGCTTTGGCATTTCCAGGCCGCTGGATCTCGAGAGGTGGCAGGGAGCAAGAGTGGAGGCGTGAGGCGCATGGCAATTCGAATCGTCTGCCGGGCTGGCGTCATGCTGAGGGCAGTTCTTGACGGCGGCTTTCGCCCAAGACTCCCGATTTGTATAGCACTCGCCCAAAGGGTCAGCCTCGCGGCGAGCTGGGAGACGTTTGGGAGCGCCTGCAAGGCTCGGCCACACGGATTGCTCCATCCCCCGCAGGGCAAGGGACGGATCGAGCGAAGTCCCGAAGCTGGTCAGAGTGCTGGGACGACAGCTGCATCGGTCTTCGCACTGCTTCGAGACGACCGCTGAAGCCACACGACCTGAAATGGCCGCCCTATATCAGAGCGAGTGCTCACCGGCCCTGGCGCCAGCAACAGACTTAGACCTCGGGAGCCCTCAACGTCGTGCAGCGGGGAGTCCCATTAGACTTCTGCGGGCAACGCCGTGCTGTTGAGGCGTCGCGCCGGTTGTCTCACATGGCACGCTCGGTGCAAAGTTTGCCTCTTCCCGGCGGTGCATGGCGATCGTCCCATATGCATGGCTGCTGGATGGCTCCGCGTCCTTGCGCCGACCACAGCGCAGGGAGGGTTGACAGCTGGATCAGCACCGGGGGAGCATGGAGCGCAGAGACACACGCCAGTGCACGCCGCCGCTGGGGCCAGGCCAGCCCTCGCCCGCAACAGCTAGCTGCTTGCCCGTTCGATATGCGCCCAGCAAAAACCCCCGCGGTACGCTCGTCGATAAGCTGCTCCCAACTGGTCCCAGGCCCTGCGACGCCGCTGCTCCCTGCTATATGCCCTACATATATTATCGCAGTTAAGACCACCCCAGGGACCCCCGTTGCAGCGCGCCGTCCACCACCACACGCATCCTCCAGGCGCTGTGCCATCCGAGAGGCCAGTCAGGAGCAGCGCTGCCGGCGCCAGTCACTGGCCGCAGGTTCTCAGTCCAAAACCCCCCCGGCCTGCATCACGCAAAAGAGCCCTTCCATCTCGTCCCCGCGCCCGTCGTCTGTCACAGGCAGTAGTTCAGGCACTCAAACGCTGCTGTGTGCCGCCTCATATCCTCCGTCGCTCCCGGCTGTTTCAGCGCGCCGTCCACCACCAGCCGCGGCGTGCCCTCTGCCCACCGCCCCAGCATCGCCGAGCGCTCCCCACAGTGCGGACTTTATCTGCCAGGTTCATAAACCGCTTCCTGTCCGTTCGTCGTCTGCTAGCAAGGGGCCCGTCCATTATCACATTACTTCAGGCTATCTTAGCCCGCCCGCGCTATTCCTTGTCGACACTTCGCAACCCCAACTTCCTGTCCGTCGCCTGAAGTCCACTGACCCTCGATCGCCGCCTGGCTTTCCTAACTGAGCATTCGAGCACGGATGACGTTAGTCAGAACTACCTGCAGCCATCACTTCGAACCTTCGCTCACGTCTTCCTCTGTACCCAGCTATGGACGGCTATTACCAGCAGAATCCCAATCTGCCGCAGTATTATAGCATCAACCCACTGGTTCCCGGCAATATCCCACCCGTAAACCCCCAGGATGGCTACCAGCACGGCCTGCACCACATGCAGCCGCAACTGTCCAACGAGCACCTCCACCAAACCTATGTGGCCTACGAGGATGACCCCCGGGCGCTAGAGATGCCTCATGTGCCAGGCAGTGCGCGTGCGAGGCGACGCTCTACTCAGACCGGCGAGCATGTCAAGCATCGCAGAACGCGAAGCGGCTGCTATACCTGCAGGAACAGGCGGGTCAAGGTATGTTTATGCAGACTTGCCCGTTGGCCAGGCTGACGATCGACATGGCAGTGTGACGAGATGCATCCCATCTGCGAGCGTATGTGCATTTCAGAGAGAGATTACTGACGCTCTGCTGACAACTCTCCATGACAGGCTGCCGAAAGGGCAACAGAGATTGTGTATATCCGGAGCCCTCAACCTCGTCAAAGTCAAGTCGGAGTGGGGCCAAATCGAAGTCATCGCCCGAAGAGAATGGGTCCTCGGGGGAAGAGTATGATCACGACCCGAAGGAACTACTGCCACCAATTCCAGATGACGATGAGCATGGCGAAGGCCGCCTTCCAGAGCTGTACTCTGTGAGCCGCAGGTCGACTACGCAGTCGCTTCGAGAACCCTCAGATACGCCGTCACTAACTCATGATCGAAGCCCATCACCTTCAACAGAGGGATCGACGACCGTTACAGTTCCCACATCTCGACCTTCTCTTTCTCGCTCGGCTAGCATGCAGGCAGCAAAACAAGCAGCATCGAATCGTCCTTGGCCAGAGCTACCACAGGACGTCAAATTCTACCTCAACTTCCATCGCACCAAAATGTCTCACCACCATTATTGCTTCAAGCGAGACCATGAGTCTTTCCTGAAGACGACGTTTCTGGAAATTGCGGTGAAGAATGAGCCCCTGCTGTACGCCGTGGTTGGGTTTGCTGCGTATTACCATACTCTTACGAAACCGGACGGCAAGCTTCAAAATTTTCTGAAGTACTACAACAAATCTGTTTCTTTACTTAGGCAGTCTCTCTTGAAGAATAAGAAGCACGGACTAGCGACTCTGTTGACTATCCTACAGCTTGCTAGCATTGAGGTAAATTGCTCTCTCGGCAATGATAATATGCCTGCTGATGTTAGAGATAGGAGCTACTAGGAGACTGGATAAATCTCATGGGACATCAAAAGGCTGCATATCAGATTTTGACTAAACTCTACTCTCCACAGACGATAATGCAGAGCGAAACTCTACGGAAGACACTGCTTTGGTACATACGGTTCGACCTCTTCGTGGGGTTCCAATCCAACCACGAAACTGTTCTAGGCCGGGACTGGTTTGACGCTTGCCATGTCTACTACGTACAACGCCTTCGCGACAGCCCGAATGATCTGACAATGAAGTTCGAAGAACGGTTCTCGTACTCTCGCCTCCTAGCTACCGATACTGCCATCCTGTTTGCGAAGAAGGGGAAGGGAGACATAGGGGATGAAGACTTCGCTGCACAGTTCGCCGAGATAACTAGTCGCTACGAAAACTACGAAAAAGACATCGATCCCGCACTTCTAGATCCTAATGCTTTCATCACAGATTTCTCCGGAGCACCACCACGGCATCCGGATGATCCAGTCGACCCGTATGATCCACATAATATCAGGGGTGGCGAACTATGGACGACAAACTACCTATTACTCGATTTCTGGGCTATAGACCTGATGTTCAAGCTGATGACCTCAATGGCTCTACGCCAGCCATTCTCGGAAGAAACCGTCCGGAGAGCCTACAAAACTTGCCAGATGTTCGAAGCCATCGAACTGTATCCGCACTCCCCGCCCGGTGCTCTCATAGAAGCACAAGCTAGTTTCGGAATCGCAACTCTCTTCCTGCCGAAAGACCAGAGGCATATTACATGGCTCCGTCATAAGCTTGCCAAGATCGAGACTTCTGGGTGCGTAGTCGCAATCTCCTTGGTCCCTTGTTCATTCCCGCTCCCTGCCCTTCGTCAATCCACACCCCGCAGCGCCCTAGCCAGCTGCCCCATGCGGATCTGAGACTTAGGATACGCTGATATACACCTCTCCGAATTCTAACCTCGTGATACAAGAATTCATCCGAATCCCGAATCCTGTTTTTTTTGCTGACCCACATGTGCGGCATTCTAGCTACATCTACCCCGCCACCTTCCGCACGCGCATGACAGACGACTGGGGCATCGACGTGACGAGATGGTGGTTCCCCAACGACGAGGGCTGCCCACCTATCGTGCGCTCCATCAAGGAGTTCAGCCACGACCGCACCACGGAGCCCAAGGACCAGATCTCGGAAGACCTCCGCGACATGAAGGGCCTCTTCAGCAGCCTCTCGCTCGGCGACTCGCCAGATAAGCCGCCGAGCATCTCGGGCCTGGAGGCCGGGACGGAGATTAGCCCCACGAGCATGGCTGGGCCGATGGATCTAGACGAGGCGCTCATTTATACCGGCGGCAGCCCGGACTTTGGGTGGGACGTTGAGGGCGAGGGGTTTGGTGGGGTCTACGGGGTGCAGTAGAAAACAGGGAGGGGAGGCTTCTCGGAGTGTTTTGTACTGATAGTGTTTGGGTTTTTGAACGCGCCGGCAAAAATAGAGAAGGGAATGTCATCTACAGGCGTTTGATACCTCAATAGTATATCTGTCGCGGGACTTCTCCTGGCTAACTACAGCTTACCTGAAAAGAACTTCTCTACTAACTACGGTACTTGCCACCGTCTACCAAGTTGAGCCCGCAAAAGCAAATCCGGGACGCTAATTCAACTCTGTAGCCCCGGTCGATCCCCCTCGTTCCCTCCCTCGCTCCCTCACGTGTCGTCATCTTACCGCTTCAGCCGCGATCAACACCGGCTGCTCGTGAAATCCTGCCGGATCAGCACCCGGCCGACTCGTGTTATGCGGGGGCGCAGGCGGGGCGCGACGGTGCAGATGGTAAGCTGCGAGGTGCTGATGATGATCGCCGGCTGTTGAGGGCCTTGGCCTTGGGGTGGTGCAGGTGAGGCTGGCACAGCGAGGTTTGGTGCGGCAGTGGATGGCGCACGGGCGGCGGTGGGGGTGGGGTTTGAGTGCCGGACAGGGGGCGGCATGGGGGGCGCTGGGATCGGAGATTTTGGTGTTGGTGTTCAGGCTTTTTATTTATTTTTTGAAATTGGGATGGCATGTGGGTTTAATATCAGGGTTATAGCGAGGAGATGAGGGAAAGGGGGAGTGGTAAATGAGGGCAGAGGGACGGGGTGGGTGGCGGAGATGGGATGCCGGCATGGGAAAGAGGGGGAGATAGCAGAGGTTGTTGTACTGGGGACGATACGGAAGTACTTCGGAGTGGCGCATGGGGTGAACGGTGAGGTTGAAGTGGGGATTGTCTGTGTCGTGAGTTCTGGGACGGTCTCGGAGTGTCTAGAGGAGAGTGTATTGTTGTTACATGATATCTAATTCTTGTTTTCTATATCTTTAACTTGCCGAGCTGGTCGCTTCAGTAGCTTGTACATTGGTTCGGCGGGAGCTATAATGCACAACTGAGTAGTGGTGAGGTTCCTGGTTGGTTGGTAGCCATTATCGTAAGCTGCGTTTTGACTCTCATGAGTCCACGGTAGACATTTGTCACCGTACTACACCACCGTCGCATCGTGACATGGCGCAGCAATGTATATTGTTGCGATGTTCGGGACATTGCGGATCGGTTATTGACCAGAGCATCCCGAATCTCTATGTCTTCCAACTCGACAAGCCAGGTAGCAGGTCGAATCCAGTGCTAGACCGAGCAGTCCAGGGGAAGTGTTTGTGTATACCCAAGTCAGCACTTTGAAGCGCTGTTACAAACACATGCGTCTCCGTAGGATTTGGCGATGGAGAGGAGAAGCCATCCGCAACTCGTTCCAATACACCATCGTCAACGATCTCGCTCACGTCGAGTAAGCGGTCTCGAAGGTATCGCTGGTGCTGTGCTGGTATTGATGAGACCATAGTCGCCATTGTCAGTGGCCAGCAAAGGAATGAGGCCGTGGCGCCTTTGACGGCGCCTTTTAGGGATCCTAGGTCTTTGCATGTAATAATGGCGACGCCATCAGTTTCTCGACTGTTCTCAAGTAGACCGAGCATGTACGGCACGCTGGCGCAAAGATCGTCAGCAAGTTGCTGGATCTTCAAGTGGGTCGCTCCTGTTAGAGAGGCCGTGTCGACGTGTGGAAATCTAGCAAGGATGGAGAGGATTTTGAGCTTGTTGTCGTTGACTGTCAGTCGAAGGGCACGATACCGGTTCCACATCCCCGCGTGGCCTACTGTAGGGTATACGTGGACAGTGCTATCGAAGACCATGTTGCCAACTTTATCTGTGCCTTCTCTTTCTACAACAAAGGTATTGTAGCAGTCCTGGGGCGGTAAATTGTTCGTCCAAAGCACCAACAAATCATCTAGCGCCTGAGCTCCTACCAGCAGCCGCCTAAGTCTCATCATCTCTTCGTGCCTTCCCAACAATAAAAGTCCCGCGGAGGAGTCCTCAGCGATGGTACTAATTTGATAGCGCAGGGATGCCGTTTCCACCATACCCCTATCCAGGCCGAGCGCGATCCCACACTCTCCGAACTTCTCGCCATCTCGCAGCCAAGGCGGGACCGGCATGCTCCTCAATAACAAAGACCTCAGCAGCTGCCGTCGCACCAGCTTGTCCAGCTCTAGACTTTTCATCCTGCGGGGAGCTGACTGGCGTCGTAAACTCAACACGGCCATTGCGCCATCGTGGTGCGCGAAACTGCGTGCTGCTATATCCTCAATCCCGCTGCATTTCTCCTCCTTCACAACGTTAGAGTTCGTCTCAGCCTTCTTCCCCAGGCTCCTCTCCGTAACTGAGTTCTCATAAAAGCTGAGTAGCATGACCGCAAGCAACACTTCATCCATCACCACGCCGTCCACATCTCGCAGCGCCTGGTTTGTTTTCGTCAACGCTTTTGAGTATGTGCTGCGGCCAACAGCGAGGGCGGCAGGACTCCTACGCGCCCGCCCGAAGGTCGCATGGGAGACGGCGGCGATAGCGAGGCTGAGGACTGAATGCGGGTGCGAGAAGCAGGACGAGACTAAAACGTGGGATAGGTGACCATCAGCAATTTCAGGGAGATTCGGGGGCGATTCGATGTAGCAGCGGGAATAGTAGGTAAGGGCTTGCTCGGTTAAGGGAGTGGTGAGGGCCAGGGGGATGGAGGATCTCTGGGCCTCAGGAGGCGGCGTTGGGAGTAAGACAACATTCTCGACATCTTTCGGGTATCTCGAAGGTACTTTGGGGTTCTTTGATATGACGTTCTTGGGGCTGAGCTTGGATCTCGATTTGGTCGTGTCTCGAATGATGCATACTGCAGCCGTTTTCGTGTTCGGTCCACGAGGTCGTTTCCGCTTGCCAACGGCGTATTCGTTCTCGTCCAGGAAGATGAGTTTGCGCTCTTCGGCCCTGTGACATACGAGGTTTGATTTTTGACATCGATTGCAGACCGGTTGTGCTTCGTCGCACTGGGATGAAGTTAGTATAGTATCACGTAAGCAATTACTAGTGCGCTTTGAAGCCTTACCTTGACGCGACGCTGCTTACACGTGCGGCATGCTCGGTTTGGAGGTTTCATGGTGTATGGACCTGAAGTGGGTTTTTGACAGGGACAGCATTTGACGTGTGGAGGTAGGGCAGGATGCGCGGTGGTTGCGTCTAGGTTTAGACCAAAAGCGACGGACGCTTTCGGACGGAGTTAAGACGGACTTTGCTACTCTAGAATATCCATAACAGTCTAAATTTTCACGATCCTCCACTCCACGCTGCTATAATTCCAAGTTGAAGGGCCTCAGACAGTGCTGCATGAGTAAAATCTAATGGACAGTTGAGCAGATTTCACACTCTTGTTACGGCAGAAGCAATTTCGATACCTCATCCAGCTAGCCCTTTAGTTCACTGCGCGCGAACCTCGACATCAAGCTGCCACTTTTCTTACTAAATTGGAGGGCCTCCGACGGTGCTACGCCAGTGTTGTTAGAGGTGGCCATCAACGCCCGGTACAATACCTGCAAGACCTACAGTCTTTTGTCAAGGGGTGCTTCCCGGTGGCGCATCGAATACATTAGCAGATAGCTAGGAAGCTGATGCTGTATTTTTGTACGCTGACAGTAGATAACGTGCATCACAGGGAGGCGATGGAACACGGGTCATCGACATTTGCCGAACCCAGCTATCTTCATCCAGTAACGCTGATCTACGGTCTGCGTTCGCAATCACCGAATCGTGGGATTTTCGAAAGCAATGGTCCGAGATAAGAGGTGTAAAACAAGAAACTTGATGTGGAATGGAGTCTTGTCACTATCGCTTCTTTATAGGCACCCGCCAGGCCATATACATCATCATGAGGTCAACGAAAAGAGGGAGACTATGTGCCGAAAGAAGCAAGTTTGTAGCCTAAGAAAGGAGAATACGGCTATCCGTCTCTTGTGATGGAAAAAGGGTCGTAGTCGTCAGGTCTAGGGGCTCTTGCAACCTATCGATAGCCTTCTAGAATAGACATAACCGGCAAATGAATAAGACCACCAAATTTGAATTCAGCTATGAATCTGAATGATGTGGTTGAGAGGCAAGTCTGCTTAGGGAATCTTTGTACGACTGTATATACAAGTTTGGCTGCGCAATATCCGCATCCGTATCCGAGCCGTCCGTGTCTTCGTCACCGTTGGCAGTGGTCATCTTTCGATGCTTTACTAGAGGTACCTTCTGTATGACAGAGCTCGCTACTTGAGTTCCAGTCAAAGCTCCAGGTGCTGAGAGCGCTTCTGCCCCTATTACAGAGTCATTTCCGCCTACGGGAAGTGCTGGTAGAGGCATTTGGGTGGTCATGCCCGTGCTTGCATTGTGGTATGAGGGATCTGTGGGTGCCGCCGAACCCGCAGCAGTCTCGACGCGTTCATAAGTCGTTCCGATAGGATTTAGACGTGAATCAATGGAGATGTTTGTCTTTTGATTGCTGTCTTCGGCTTCTCGCTCCTCCACGCTTTTCTCGCTGGACAAGGTCGCGCGCTTTCCAAGATTCGTATCATCCCCCCGTTTCGTACGCTTCTGCGGAGGTGTGTCCGTTGCTGCAGTGGTCTTCTCAATATAGGATCCAGCTTTTGGGGCAGCGGCTGAGCTTATTGCGCTCCTCTTTCCGTGTACAGAGATTCCCTCGATTCGCTCTCATTGAGGGGTGCTGGGGGCGTTTCAGCTACCGAGTCGTGAGATGGGAGTGGGTTGACCGAACGACGTGGCGGCGGCGGGCGGAGCTGTTGCATCAACACATTCCCAGAAGGCCCAAGGAACCTCACTTCTATTTGAGGGGCATTGGGTGCCATGTGATAGAGAGCGTAGACTTGATCGTTGGTAAAATACCGTTTTATCATTTGCTATTCAGCATCGGCTCAGGTTTTCTCCGTCTTGTGGACTGCTTTCATATGCATATAGATGCCATTGGAACCTATAAAAAAAGATGCCCCCTTCTTTTTTGGCTTGCCTGCGTTAGCTTTGCATAATGGGCAATGAACTTCCACATAATGCTCTGATTTCTGTCTGATAATTGTGGACCAGGTTTCAGACAAGCGGGTGATAAGGCGATTCGTGTCAGGGATCGTGGCTGGAGCGGGACTGCTAGTTGAAACGGTACTGCTAGATGGAGCGGTATGCTAGATGCAGCAGGATTTGCGTTGAGACGGTGGGTATCAGAAGCCCTACGAAATCATCCTAATCCAGTCAGCTTGCGCTATGAGACTCGGGAGGAATCGTTGGCCAAACGCCCGGTCGGAACTCACAAACCGAGCTACGGCCATATCTATGAATTCTTGGCGAGCATCCTAACGCTTTTGGTGTAATATGTGGCTTATGTCTGAGTGATAGCGGCCTGAGTCATCGTGTCGGCGTCTCCACGGTGTATATAGTCATAGACCTGCTTTCTGAGAATGGTAATCTCCTCGAGATGTTTCTTCTGGAGCGCCCGGAAATCATCCTCTACTTGCGACACCTTGTAGCGACCCATGGCTGCGCGTGATTGAGAATAATGTATGATGATGGAGTAGAGGCTGTAAGCGCTGGTATGGGGATGAAGATGATGATGTATAGAGTATAGCGAGGAGGGAGTGAGGCTGTATACGACGTGACGCGTGCCTGCCGCAAGATTCTACCACCCTTTCCTATTTGCTCCTTAAGCTCATGATAGCCCTCCGTCCTCTCGGGCAGGTATTCAGACAGTGTCCTTGTCCACCGCAGCTCGAACAGGGAGTCAGGCGCAATGAGGGCCCCCAACCCGGTGCATAGTACCTCTACAGCCTAGCACGCTAGATTGTGGCCATAGGCCAAGTAATTGCTCTTTGAAGCCCACGGCCCTGCCCAAGGAGCTGCTCTTCCTCCGGTCGCTGCCATGATACACCTCGCCTCACAGCTGCCGCCGCTTCGCGGTACCTTACCAGGCCTCCCCTCTCCACAAGGCCGACCATGTCTTGCAGGAGTTGCTGTCTGTATACTCAAGCCCGCAGAGTACAGCCGGTATTTCCCTCCCACTAACCAAGATGGAGCAGCCATTTTCTTCCGCATCCTCTTCACCCGCTACGCCCGTTGCCATGTGTCGTCTGGCCCTCTCCGGCGTCCTGCTATGCCCATGCACCATCAGCCTGCTACGTCTGTGCTGGTCTTTTTACTGATCATTTCGAGAATGATTTTGCTCCAGTGTTCCTAGGTCTTCCGTGTTGGCCAAGATGGCTAACTTTATTTCCAACTTCTGAAGCGCCTCCGTAAGGTGCGAATAACGTTGCCTTCAAACTAACGTCAACCTCTCCGTGTCGCCTTTCAGCCACGGTGGTGGCACCCAGGTTGGAAGATTCATCGTATTATATATCCCTGAATCCATTCTATTTCCATTGGCGTCGAGGAGGGCCGATCCAACCCTTTGATAACATGCTGAGCCGCGGCGCTGCCCAGTCGGCGAAACAACAAGACAAAATATGCAGAGCTTTTGTGATACAATGTCAAAGCCAATAGTCGATATTGGCAGCAGAAAGATATCTTCACTATAGGGATTAGGGTCAGTCTCAAACGAGACGCGAAAATCGAGATATGGGTCTGCCTCGAGATCTGCGTAAATTTCCCTTGGCATGTGTATTAGTGTCGCTGTTAGCTCGATAAATCCATCTGTGAGGTTCCCGAAAACGTCGACATTCGAGCCGGTTGTTTGGCAGGCTAGGATGGTAGCCAGAGGATTGCAGGCATTTTGTGAGAGGGATGTGTCGATCGGGCCGTCAATAGATGCCCATGACCACGAAGGAGCTTTCTCATGTCAGAACAGCAATGACAATCATCTTCATGACTTACCTCTATACGGTTTAGCGATCATGAATGGCTTGTTGGGCTGAACATGCCATATCAACCCGCGAATCAGGTGATGCTTCCAAAGACCAGCGACATAGTCATCATTCAAGATAGACTGCACCACCCTGGCAATTCCAGATATCGCAATCAGTTTGTCAAACGACTTCGTCAGTGAGCATTTAGTATACTTCCCCACAGAAGTTTCCCAAAATTTTAGGATTGCCCAGGTGTTGTCAAAATGCTCGGAGTACCAACTCGGCCAAATCTTCTTAACGTTCCACTCGGGAGGGATTTGATGGCTGATGCGCATCTTTGCGGGACATGCAACCAATTCTCTGCATTCCCAGAATACCGGTGTGGCAAAATGAATGGTTCGAGGGCTCAACAAGCGTTCTTGAAGCACCCAACCACGCGCATTGAGGGGTGTCTCATCCTCAAAGCCTTTCCACCGGTCATAGAAACAAAAATAGTCTTTGTCTATAAGGCTTGTGCGGAATTTTATTCGGAAAGGTTTCCAAAGAGAATTATCCTTTTGCCGGAAAAGGCCATGGCTTGATACGTCGGACTCGGAGGCGGCTATGTTAAAGATTGAATTCTGGTAAACCTGACCCATTGTTGATGCTTCTTGTTCCCAATCAGCAAAACTATCTTGAATGATGCAGAGGGAGTCGATCCATAGGTATTGATGGCCGAGGTGTCTTGAGACCAAGACAGCGTCTCGGAATGTTTGAGGCAGTTCCTTCAGGTCAATGCCTGCCGTAAGTTGAGATATGTTCAATGAGGTAAGGGCGAGAAATTTCGAGTCTCCCCACTTGTGGCTCAAGCTGAGATACTGCGTAGGTGTTTCTGAGCTCTGCGGAATGTCATCGTTGCTGATAAGCTTAATCCGGGAGCCTTGATCTGGCCCAATATCAAGTAGCCGTGTTGGGAGAAACTTCTCATTATGATCTTGACGGCATTTCGAATGGGACTTGAGACATGTGCTCTTACACTCAAGTAACCATGCCCAGATTTCAGGTCCAGTAGAGGCAGTAGCTGGTAGGATCCTGGGTTCTGGATCTAACCATGATTAGCTTTTCGTCGATGGGTTTACTTTGCGCCACATATATACCTAACACAGGATGCAGTTCGATATGTCCGGTTTTTTGGTTGATAAGGTTTTGTTCGGTGTCGTAGAAGTCGAAGTTGATCTGGCAAAGTCTCTCGTCTTCTTCATACCACACTCTCAGGCTAGGATTGATTTCCACGGCTGGAAGTTCTGGTGACTCTTTGTTGTATTTGAGGACCGCCAGATGGAAAATCCTGCATATCCTGCACGTATGTGCCAATTCGATAAGGTCTTGGACTGGCCTAGATGGAAACTCTATCATGCCATCTTTTTCCCACCCGGAAACGCGAGGCCTACCATCCTCCCCAATACCAATGTCTTCACTCTGGTCATTGTCGGAATCATGTTTTGGAAAAAGAAAGTCTCCTTGAGTAATGCAGTCGTCGACGTCAACGCCTTCCTCGTAATCTTCGCGATTCTGGGCTTCGCTTTCACGACTCTTAGACTTCCCGTCGGTCTCATCACTGGAATCCTCTCTACCGACACTGTTAGCGCGTACCAGATCAACTGACTGTCGAAGTTGTACCCTTGAGAAACCCGTACCGTACAACGGGTACGGAAGGCTTTCCATTCTTTCTCAAAGCCAGTCCCTACCCAGTCAAACATGGATTCGCAAGATGGACACAAAGCAGCTGTAAACTCCATTATAATGGATTATGTGATGGCGACAACTTCCGCAGTTCGAGGAGAGTAGTGGGTAAAGGCTGAGTCTGAGTGATTGATGCCTACAGGGTAGCTCGGGATTATTGGCTAAAACGCCCTTCCTCATGCATGAAACAAACTCTCACATCATGATTCCCCAGCGTGGGCAATAATCCGGCCGCTTGAGTTTGAGGCCCTTGGATCCATTGGATTGATTGATAAGAAATAAATCAATCCACTGCCAAGACCTCCCAAAGTAGTATAGTAAGGGGCGAGTGGGGTGACAGCTGGGGCAGTCGTGGTGGACGCGGATTGGGTATGGCTTTCAGCCTTCCTGCAGCCCCGCGAGAAAGTTGGAACCTAATGGCATTCAACACTCTGCAGATTGATCAGCAACGGTAGTCGGCAAGCAAGCTGGCCAGGCAAGCATCCTAGCCACCCCATCATACGTGCGACGCGCTTCTCAACTACAACCTCAATGCCTATGCCACAACAATAAGAGGCCCTCTATCAAGAGGGCAGAATTGAACTCGCTATTAAGGCGCATAAGCAAGACAAATCTATAAGTTTTCGAAAGATCACTAGCCTGTTCGATGTACCCCGGAGCACCGCCCAGCTACGCGTCAAGGGCATCAAGCCAAAGCGCAATTCTCCTGCATCCAACCGCCGTCTTACCCCAGCACAAGAAGAAAGCCTTAAGGAATAGATTCTACTTATGGATCAACGCGGTATGCCACCGCAAAATCGCGACCGTACGGCAGATGGCGAGCCTGCTAGCGATGCAGCATCCTGGAGGGCAACCAGTTGGTGAGCGATAGGCATCTAACTTTATTACGCGCCACAACAACCTACAATCTAAATAGAATCGCAAGTACGACTACCAGCGTGCTAAGTGCGAAGATCCTGTGCTTATTTGCGCCTGGTTTAAGCGCGTCCAGGACATTAAGATTTAATACGGCATTCTAGATGAAGATGTCTACAATTTTGATGCGACCGGAGTCCAGATAGGCGTTATTGCAACTGCACAAGTTATTACAGGAACTATCAGGGCCGGCCAGCCTAGGACTATACAGCCAGGCAATCGAGAGTGGGTTACAATCATCGAGTGCATCAACGCGTTGGGGTTCGCGATTCCACCGCTTGTCATCTTCGAGGCCGTAATGCACTAAGCTGCTTGGTACAACACCATTCCACACGACTAGTCAATTGGCGTTGGCGAGAATAGATGGACGACAAATGAAATAGGCCTTACCTGGCTGGCAGAGGTGTTCCACAAGTATACAAAGGATCGCACTGTTGGCACGCATCGGCTGCTAGTGCTAGATGGCCACGGCAGCCACGTTAATCCCGAATTCGATCAGTTCTGCCTGGATCATTAGATAGTCGTCCTCTGTATGCCTGCGCATTTATTGCATCTACTCCAGCCCCTAGATGTAGGCTGTTTCTCGGCGTTGAAGCAGGCCTACGGACGCAGCGTTGAACAGATAATGGCCGGCGGCGTCAATCACATCTATAAACACGAATTCCTGCCGTTGTATAGGCAGGCCAGGCAGGCAGCACTACATCAGAACAATATACAGGCAGGATTTGCAGCTACAGGCCTAGTTCCATACAGCCCTGATCGCGTGCTAGCACAGCTGCACGCTGAATATCAGACACCACCACCCCAACGCCCGCCATTAAATGCATCCTGGGCAGCCGAAACGCCACACAATATCATTGAGCTACAGCAGCAGACAGCTTTGCTAAAGCGCTATCTCAAGCGCCGTACGCATAGCCCACCGAGTCCAACAGAATAAGCCCTTGGCTATCTTGCTAAGGGGTGCGAAATGGCGATGTTAAAGGTTACCCTACTTACTAACGAATTTGAGAGGCTACAGATGGAAAACCAGCGCTAGAAAAGGAAAAGGGCACAGAAGCGCACCTATATTGCTAGGGGAGGGGTGCTATCAGGAGCAGAAGGGGCCTCTCGTGCATCTACTAGCTAAACAGGTGCAGCGGAGGGGGCAGCAGAGGCAGCGGCCGAGCGACCGCAGCGAGCACCACGCAAGTGCAGCATGTGCACTTCAACTGAACACACGGCACATACGTACCCTAGACGGCAGTCAACTAGCTAGTAGATAGCTACACTAAATACAATTTGTTATGGTTGAGCAATTCGCTATCTTGTGCTTGGTGGCTTGGTGGGGTGGCCAAAATGCTTGCCTGGCCAGCTTTCTTGCCGACTACGTTATGTTGCTGTTATCTCTGTTTTTGAGGCGGTTGACCTCGGACGACAAGAGAGTATATCCACGTGAGTCTCACGTGATTATGGCTCGTGACCGTCATAAAAAATCACGACTTAGAGCTGTAGAGTCAGATCCATAAGCGTTGAACTAAAGTAGAAGTTAGGGACTCTTTGAGTCTTCTTTCAGAAAGTGCATTTTCATAGCGAGAGTAAAGTGTAGGGAACCAAACCCAAAATTGGAGATACTAGTATTCGTCTCCTCTTTTCTAAAGCAGAGACTCTCCCATATCTACAAATGATAGTTCGAGACTTGGCATTTCTAATGCGTCTTGAAATGCGTCACTATCCATATTTGATGGGAAACTATATGCTGTGTTTTCAAGAACTCCATTCCAATCCTCCAATTGCACGGAGCTGGGAGGGTTCTGCTTATTGAGACGATCTAGACCCGACATCGGAGAATTCCAAGGGGGTAAGTCGTAGCCCTGAAAGTCATTCGATTGGATTCCGAGTATGTTTGTCCCAAGGAACATGCTCTCAGACTGACTGTCATTAAGGCTTATGGTGCCGCTCGGTAATTCGACCGTATTGCATAGAGCAACCTCGCTTTGTCGCTCTAGCTCTGAGCAGAAGCTTCGCATTCGTTCAAAGCCAGCATCATGAGCTCTTTCAGTCAATGAATACAGAAGCTGTAGTTGCGGCTTGATGAGTGCTAAATCTGAGTGGGCTTTGTCGTGCGTCGGTGTGTGAATAATCCTAGCCATCAAGATTACCATCGCGGAGACACAGTAGGACATCATGATCCTGAGAAAGAATGCTATATCAGCAAATAAAGTACGAGGTCGAGAAGGATCGAAACCCACCAGATACAAGGATGCTCTTCCAAGGGCAGGATTTCCATAAGCTGCAACGAAGACCTCGCCGCATCCGCGCATCTCCTAGCCGAAATACACCACTGGTCGTATTCCGGTTCACGATTTCCATCCTGACTTGGTGGCATCATCACTGCTGCTTGCCATAAGCGGTTTTGGAAAGATACTCGATGCACGGTGGCCAGGCAATTGAAATATGCCAAGTGCAAAAAGATCATTTGCATCATCGTTGCTTTCGGAACGGAAGTCGCAATATTCTCTGCCCAAAAAAGAGGATCGATACCCGATTTCCATTGAACGAGGGACTGGTGGAGCTCAAACACAGTTGAAAGTTGTGTGTTCGCATCATTTTTCGAGGCGCGCGCGGAATACAGGTTCCTGTATGCTTTGCCCTGGATGAGAGCGAGCTCGACACGGAGGCGGAAGTAGTTGATCCTCGCGAAGGAGTCTAGGGCATAAACGTAACCCAGGCCATCTTGGGGTGATTGTTCCGGTAGATCATTGTCTACGTCGTCGTTGTCGATCATTTGTGGCTGTTCCGTTCTGATGCTGAAGTCTTTGTCTAGAAGAGCTGCGATCCAAAACACGCGTTCGCGCTGGGTCGCCGCAACAGTGTCCAGATCACGATTGGAGCCTTTCCTATGCATTCCAAGATGGTTTGATAGGCGTATTGCCGCTGCGAGAAGCACTGATCCTGGACGGGGATCCGGTGTGCCTTGTAGTAATAGTACAATGCCGAGCAGGGCTTGTATGGCCAGAAGACTGCTTTCGGAGAGTGTGAGGTCGGAGACGACTGTCAATGCGTTCTGGAGATACTGTTGAGCTCTCTTATCTTGCTCTTCGTAAGTGAGCCCTGGCACGGCGTGAAGTCGGAGTGCCAGCGCCATTGCAACATTTAAGGATGCCCACCAAGCCAGGTCGTCGTCTATTTGCTCCTGCCCGTACTGTCTATAGAATCTTTGCATGAAGCTTTCAGGGTGGAAGAGGGGGAGAGCGTTGTTTGGGCCATTGAAGTAGGCGGCGACTATTCTTACTGCTTCGTCCTTAGGAGGAAAACGGAAGTATGCGTGGCGCGGAAGCTTTAACACATCATTTACACCAGGTCCAGTCCGAAGTGAGCTGTTGGTGTGCGTAAGTTGAACGTAATCCTGTGATGGTGTCGAAGGAATCGTTGATGATACTTCTGGGCCAGGGGTATTGCCAATGAGGTCTAGATTAGCTACTCTTTTATGCTTTAGCAGTGGTGACACGCGCTGAGCTTCCAAGGGCATCATCTTAGGATGAGCGCTCTCTTTCCCTTGATCCTGTGAGGAAAAGTCTTTTCTCAACATAGCTTCTACGTGCCGAAGGCGCGTTTCAAGCTTATCGATGCGCTCTCCACTGTCGTTATCAGCTGAGTGAAAGCTCCTCAGGGAGATATCAAGACTACCTTCTGCGAGGTAGCTTCCGTGGCTTTTTCTTATGCGTGAATACGCATTTGGCTTGGTAGCTCACGCAGTTTGAGCATTGCGGCGAGGCACGATCGCATTTGATCTTTCGTTTTCTACAAAGATCGCACGCCTAACCAATTTGTAAGTATTCGCCATATGATTTGCCTCCTACTTGCGTACAACAACTGCGGCCTTTTTGGCCTGTACTGCGGAGTCTGGACTGAAGTAGTCATCATCGAACACTTCTCCGGGATTGGTGGTATCAAGCTGATTCGTGTCCACCAACTCTTCAGTAGCTTCGGTACCCATCTTTTATTAAGAGGTTCGACTTCAGAAGCTGGAACGTTCACTTGAAGCAAACAGCAAGGCTAGGAGTCCCAATGATAAATTATACTCCTTAGGATTGCCAAATAGCGATTTCTCCGATCCTTTTTCGAGATGAAGCGAACAAAAACATGCTTGTGACATCCATATAGGCTTGTTCGGAATCCAGATTATAAATGTTGCTAAGCAACTACGCCTTGACTATGTTCAAAGGCGGTTAGCTTCCCGCTAAATCTACTATACCAGGTACTAGCAGTCTGATTGGTGACGAGTTCTGATTTGTAATGCCCTATTACCAAGAGACGGAACTTACCTTGACTTATCTTTTTCATCCCCCAAACCGCCTCTACTCTCTACTTCTTATCAACGACATGACGCACGTAGTCTGCCTTCTCGCCACTCGAGCTGGAATGCATCACAGCGACGTTGTGCTGGTTATAAACGGTTATTGATAGTCTAAAGTAGGCTGGACGCGGAACGCCATTGACGTGTGCCTTATCGATACATCAACAACTCTTGTAACCAGAATCAACTTCTTTAGCATCTTACCTGGTGCACTACTCAGGCCTTTTCCGCCCGTGGCAAAAGCACCGGTATAGCTTCAAGATGCTGACCTCCATTGTCATTTTCATATAACGTTCGGGAAATAGATTTGGCGCGTTTCGAGGACACTGGCATGCATAACCCTCGCGTTGTCCAGGTAGCCAAAGTCAAGTTTTCCGCCCTAAGCATGCTTCCAAGTCGTGGTAGTGATGAAGTAGCCGCGGATGAACTTCTTCTTTCTCCAGCTCTTGGAGTGGCTACTACCTGTATCAGACAACCAAGACGTCTCAATATCCCAGAGCTAGTTGTTACGGCAGTGACGAACGAAGGATAGCGTTTCCCGGTTACTCTTGCAATCACTAGAAACCTTTTCGATGTGATGTTTCGCGGCACTCGAACGCTACTCCGCCTTCCCTCCGATCAGTAAGACTATTGGAAGTCTGGCGATGTAGGTGGTACTGACAGGTTTTGAGCTAAGTTCATTTAACAAGTCCTCGCTGCGGTCGTGGATAGCAGCTTCTAGATGCCCCGTTGGCATCTATGGCAACTGCAGCCATCTCGCCTCTAAGTCCAGAACTCCCTTAGTAATAACCAAATCTATCCCTTCTGCTAAGAGTTGTCGGCGTCGGGCTTGCATGAACACCTTAAAGACCTTGGGCTTGGTTCAATCAAACATCCAAATTGCCCTTTGGAGGACTCTTCAATAACGCAAGGTTATGAAGTTTTATGACATAGTTCATAGTGTAAATCGTACACTCATTCACATGCGCAGCGAACCGGTGTTTGTCAGCGGAGCGGGAAGCGCTTTGCTCGGTGCGGAGACTCATACGCCTCCGAGCAGGGGTGATTCTGTTAGCCACCCCAGCCAATGCGATCAATGGCCTGACACAGGACTGGAAGTGTGGTTAATACGCCTCAAAGTACTTCTTCAACTACACGGCGTTCTTACTGCGTCCGCTCCGCGGCGTTGTAGTTGTCTCCTTCCCGCGCGACTCTGACTTTCTACAGGTCTGTCGTTACCGGAGAGCGGATTGAAACATCCTGTTGTTAGAAATCATAGAAAGCAGAAGGATGGACTATCGGTCTTGCCATTGATATAAAACACGGCAACCATGGCGCGTTATATTGCATCCCAAAACACCAGACAACGCCTCACTACACCATCTCAACCAATATCCTATCGATTCAGCTAACCCTCTAGAACCCTTTCGAACCACAAACCAAAGCACTTCAAAATGTCTACAAACACCGTCGTCCTCATCACTGGCGCCAACAGAGGTATACCAACCCCTTAAGCCCCCAAAAAAGACTTTAACATCCCCAGGCATCGGCCACGCCCTCACCGCCGAATACCTCTCCCGCCCCCACACCACCCTCATCGCCGCCGTCCGCGACCCCAAAGCCAACTCCAAGGCCCTCGAAACCCTCCCCAAAGGCACCGGCAGCACCCTGCTCACCGTCAAAATCGACTCCCTCTCCCCCACCGACGCCAAAGCCGCCATCGCCGCCCTCCCCCCCTCATTCCCTCACATCGACCTCGTCATCGCCAACGCCGGCGTCACCGTCTTCAACCCCGTCCTCGACATCACCGTCGACGAGTACCTCTACCACCAGAACATCAACGTTCTGGGGCCCTTACTGCTCTTCCAAGCCACCTGGCCCCTTCTCCAGAAATCCGCCGCGCCGAAATTCATCGTCATTTCGAGCTCGCTGGGCAGCGTCAAGGCGGGGCCGGAGTGGGGGATGCCGTCCGGCGCGTACGGGGCGTCGAAGGCGAGCATCAACTACCTGACGCGGAAGCTGCACTTCGAGCATGAGAGACTGGTAGCGTTGCCAATTTGCCCCGGGTGGACGCAGACGGATATGGGGAATGAGAGCGCGGCGGTGTTTCGGGCGGCGGAGGGGGGGTTGGCGCCTGTGACGTTGGAGGATAGTATTCGGGGGGTTGTGAAGGAGGTGAGTGGGCGTGTTGTCTGGCTTGAGGTGAGGATTATGCTGATGTGATTGTTGTAGATTGATGGCGCGATCAGGACTGAGGAGGGGCGCTTTGCGTGTTATGATCATAAGGATGTTGCGTGGTAGGTGTAGTTTTCGCGGGGCCGAGATAGGATTGGATGCTTGTGGAGTGCATATGAAGAGTAGGCTTGGAAGGAGAACTGGAGGCTTTCTTTAATATGGTGTAGTTATTGAATATCAAACATATGAAAGTGCGATGACAATTGAAATCCAATTTTGTGTAAATGCTTTGCGTTATTCTAACCGTTACGGGGCAGTTATTACCCGTGACTGGTAAGCAGATGCCAAGAAAAAGACACATCGATTGAGATATAAATGAGGTTCAATAGATTCTGCTCTCTCAAAAATACTAGGGACAAACCACCGTTTGCTCTAGGCCAAAAAGGAAACACACTAACGCGAGGTAAACCCTCCTACTTCCCAACGCTCTGTTCCACCTTCAGCAAGCTGTGCACCGTATCGATGATACACTGCCTAAGCGGGATGAAGGTCATGCCCAGCTCCTTCGTTGCCTTCGCATTGCTGACCTTATACACCTCAGGCTCTTTTGAGCCAGGAGCAGCCTGCGGCACCTTCTCCTTCACCTCCGGCACCTCGCGAATGATTTCGCAGATTTCCCGGTAGCTCATATTGCCACCAGTGATAAAATACCGTTGCTGCGCCGCGCCCACGCTCTCGTAGGCACGGACATGCGCCTCGCCTACGTCGCGCACATCAGCGTACGCAGGGAATTCTGTGGCGGGGACCTCCTTCGTTGTTCCGTTGAACAAGCGATAGATATCCGCAGCCGAGGTATTGAGGCGTGAGAGGTCAGTGACGCTCTGCGCGATGGGGCCGTAGATCATAGGCGGGCAGATTGTCGAGATAGTGAAGTTCGGCTTCTCCTTCTCCACGAACTCGTACGCCGCTTTCTCAGCGAAGACCTTGGATGCGCAGTACGCGACGCCGCCGGGGCCCGTCTTCGCCTCGTCCCAAGTCACGGGGTTCCAGTCGGCTTCGGTGTATGTGTAGCCTACACGGGTACCCTGAGATAGGTCGACGAGGGCAGCGAAAGAGGAGGTGATAACAACGCGCTTGACGATGGGGTTGTTCTTCTTGATCGCCTTTAGGATTTCCGTGGTGCCTTTGACGGCTGGGTTTAGTAAGTCGCGCTCGTTGTCCTCGACATCCATTACAAAGGGAGAAGCGGTGTGGACGACGCCGTCGACATCTTTTACGGCCTCATCGAAGGCTCCGGGGACGGCTACGTCCTTGACGATGGCGAAACTCAATTGCTTGAGGTACTTGGAGTGTGTCTGCTTGACCTTTTCGGCGGTGGCTTCTGACCGGACAGTGCCGCGAACATTGTACCCGCGCTGAAGGAAGGAGTTTAGAACATGTGCGGCGACGAAACCAGAGGCGCCAGAAATGAGTATGGTCTGATTTTGTGGTAGCTTGGCGCCGTTTACGAGGTTCGTGATTGAAGAGGTTGCGGTGGCCGCAAGATCTTTAGCTGCCTGGACTGCGGACATGGTAGAGAGTATCGGCGATTCTAAGAAAAAGAATATGGTATCTGATAGGTTGTATGAGTGGAATATACTATGGGCGTAGGATTGTTTGTTTTTAAAACTATGGAGCCTACCAGTTCATATACAGTTCTTCTCAACGATCGCCATCCTGACATCACCACCGGTGGTAAGTTCAGTATCACTGTAACGCCGGGACTAGAAGAGTTCCTGGGACGATGCTCTCCCGGCGTTCTGGACCAATTCGCTTAGCAAACTTCACATAAGGGCTGTCATACTCCTTTTAGCTCCATTTTGATGAGGTGTAAATCGTATTGGGAAGGGATGGATGCCGAGGTGATTGTGTACTGTGGTATCCGGCATACCTTTTGTGGGTGGAGACAGGCATCTTCCTCTTGGTAATCTTGGTAAGCGCACGGCTCCAGGCTCGGTAAGGTTTCGAAGAGTTGATTGGTGAAAACCCTTGTTTTGGTCTCTGTTTTAATCCCCTGTTGCCGATGTGCCTCAGTCTACAGTACACTCACAAGAGATGCGCCGGACGCCACAGTACTAGTGACGAGATAAGGAGCAAATGCCGAGTGGAACATGATCTCATCCATGCTGAAGATTGGGTGAGCTACGGACCGCTCAGGACCAAATCAGCCCACCCAGAGCCTCCTTAGGAAGTCGCTCCGTAGAAAGCTCGTTCAGAAATTTCACACTAGAGCCGCAGGACCCTGGGCTTAATTCCTAAGCATCCGGTCGCATCCATACCAATCCTGAGGGAAGGCAAAACTTTTCGGAAAATATCTGGAGAAATATTGGAATGACGTGGTTGGAGCTACGGTAAAACCTGGTTATAGTGTTATCTCGTTATATAACACTAACCAAGGGAGGTTTTGGTATAGGCGGATGGTCCGGGGCACCTCAAAACCTCCCTAGAACCTCTTGACCTCGCTAACTTCGGGGCCACTGGCTTACAAATCCCTTGCACGTGACTCTCGAAACAGTGATACGACCCCTCCGAAAAAGCCGCATCACTATACCGTCTGTTGCCGTCCTCGGCAGAGTCTGCCCGGCTCCGGCCCGCGAACCCGCTTACATAGATTGGCGACCCTTAGGATTCATGATGCCGAAGTTGTACCGAAATATATCTGCCTCCTTCCGCGGAGAACCGAAGTAGTAATAGGACCCGTTTATAGAAAACGTTGCTGCCTTCTATTCCTATCAGGCTTCGTTGAACATGAAATAGCAGACCAACACCGTCTGAGGTGACCTGATGAGCTATCAGGCTTATCATATCTGTCGTATCACAGTTTTTGATAATGTAACGGGACCTCAAGCGGTGCTGGGCAAGTGTCATAGCCGTAGAGAGAGTGCGTATCTACAATACCAGACCATGGATTTGGCACTCCTTGCATCTGCTTGTGATCTCCCGATAGGCCCTCTGCACCCTAAGTAGGATGTAAAACTCGACGCAGTGGAAAGGGCTACCTTTGAACTAACTCAAGCCATGCCAGCTGGGGTATCCTCACGATGGTGTCGAGCGAGCAAGAGTAGAACCAGAGCAGTGAGATGTCTGTGCGCCCAAACTTTTGACCCAGCACTGTAAAGGGTATGAAGTCCTAGAATAAAAGTCACAGATTGACTACCATCTTTTGTTCAAGAGAGTCTGCTTGTGGCGTTATTCACTGGCTCGCCACTGGAAGGAATCCAATCGTGAATTTTGCCCTCGGATTGTTATACGCCTTGTTGAATCGGACAAAGACGTTATATGGACCGACTACTTTACTGATAACACTATTGGATGATGTTCGGTAATCGGCGGCCTTGTAGACTTTTGATGGTGGCATCACACGCCCGGTTGTTGAGTCCAAGAAAAGCCCCACATGCCTGGTGTCATCCAATATGGCTACTTTCGCATGGATCGAGTCTGGAGGCATCGGGAGTTTGATGCCGATACCAAAGGTAAAGTTCGTATCGCGATTTTGGAAGACCAGCGCCCCTTCGCGCGCAACGCTTGCTTCGGTCATACTCAAGTAGATGTTTTGATCAACTTCTTCAAGCCCTGACCATGTCGACTTCACTTGGAAGTTAGACTGGATGAATTGAGCAATGTCTATCGCAAAGAAAGCAATCCAGTAGAAATGAGAGGGTCGATCCCAGGAAGCTGAAGACGAAAACTTTTGATGGTCAGGAAATATGTACGCATCTGCCAGAAAGCCATTATACGATTGCTTACGGAACTTCGCAGAATCAAACTATTACAGGGCCATTGGAAGTCTTGTATATTCACCTGAAGCTTGTTTGTTGGAGACCCCTATTGCCAGAACTTTGTTGCTCCCTCGGATGGTGCATGCCAAGCAAGCTAAGAGCTGAGCGAAATAGGGTTCATGGATGAAAAAAAGCCGTACACGGATGCTAGAACTTCTTTGGACATAATTTTGGGTTTTGATAGGATAGTCGCTTATTGAGAGAAGTAAACGCAACCCATCACTATCGTAAGGCGTGGAGATCATAGATCCCGTGTTCGCAAAAGCACTAGGAGACTGTGCGAAGAGCCCAAGCTCGCCGTGGTGATCTAGTTCCCAGTCCCAGGCGAATATGGTGTGGTCAGGATTGGCCTGAAAGATTTCCGTCTGTAGTCTGAAGAAAGCAGTCGCTTCGCCTTCGCCGTAAATAGTCGACATGTTCACTCCAAAAAGGCCACACAACGAGTACGCACGATCTTCTAGTCTTGTCGTAGTTCTTTTGGCAGCCCAAGACAATCGTGCTGCTACACTAGTTGACCACAGTCTAGCATGTGATGGGTCAGTGAGGACTAAGCTCGAGATGTTGGTTATCTGAGCGATACGTTCCGCCAGAGAAGAACGAGACCCAACATAGCCCCAATACCTGTCAAAAAACCATACTTCGGTGGGCGCAATAAGTTCCTGCAGCGTCCACCCTCTTTTAAACCATTGAGAGTCTTCGAAAAGAGATTTTCCTGGTCGATATTTCCACAACGCGTCTTGCGATGGCTGATCAATTCCAGGTTCCAGGTCAGATAGGTAAGCAAAACACAAAGTGGCCTTTTGGTACCATGAGAACATGGAATTAATGGACTCGGATAGTTCCGCGCTGCTGCTTTTGTCGATGCACAGTGTATCGATCCACACATAGGTCATATCTAAGTGTTTCATAGCCCAACAGGCCCCTTCGACTTTATACCAGCCGATCTCTTTAGAAAGAGCACGGCGTAGATGAGGATGAGATCGAATAGAAGCTGGCTTCGGGATTCTCGCCGTACGCTGCTCTGCCCTCATTTCTGATTCAGGTTCGGCGACTAGAGATGAAGGGCTTCGGCTTCTCTCAGATTCCTCTACGGATCCTCGAAGCGTTTGGTCGTCTTGGAAGCCATGAACCGCTTCGTCAGAGTCACTAGGGTATTCTTTCTGGTGATCCGTCGATGACCAGTTAGCAGTCGTAGGCGCAACAGATGCCTCAAATGGTTCGGTATGTGTGCGGGTCCTCATTTGCCACCGAAGCTGGCCTAATTGCTTCTCCAACTTCTCATACTTCGCATTTAGGATTTGGAGATCTTTGTCGTGGGTTTGCTCCTGAATATCCTCGTACAAGACCTCGTCGTCCTCCCATCGATGAGACAAGATGGCATACGGTGGGGCCTCATCAGCACTGTGGAAGAACTCTAGCCGTAATGTATCGACGTTGAGTAGACGCATTGCTAGACTTGAAGTAGATACCCAGGCTGAAATTCTGGATGAATGGGAAGATTGACGAGCGGAGTCGAGAGATGTGAGAAGTCGGATTAGGCTGAAGCGCCCTAAGCGAGAACGTGATCACCGGCAGGGGTTCGCGCTCAGAAATAATCCACAGTCTAAGAGAAGGCACTCATGCCAGAGGACCAGGTCGTGGTACAGGACTAGGCCATAAGGTTGGGTGCATGGATATGCAACTACATGGCTCCCACTCTTGCTCGCTCGACACCACTGTGAGGAATACTCAGCCTGCAGCCATTTAGTCAGTCGAAAGGCAGTCTACTTTCTATTGCATCGACCTTGACATCGTATTTGGAGCTTGATGAGCTCATAGGCGGACCCCAAGCAGTGGCAGGAAAGAGCGCCGAGACAGACGACCTAGGACTGTATCTAAATGTTGCATCTTTGGACTTCAATAGATCGATCCTTGCGAAGCATTCCAAACTCTCGAATGCCTCGAAACGTGATATTTGTCTCGAGCTGCATCTTTCACCACCCTCTAATGCTGCCTATCCAATCATCTTACAGTGGAAGCCTATACGTCTGTGGACACTCGTTTGCCACTGCTTGGGGTACTGCAGCGGGTTTTCAACAATCCAGGCGCAATATTGAGTTTCCTGCAGCGTAATTTGAGTTGCCATTTGGCTGGCCGGCTTCATGTTACCTGGGCTACTCCTCACAGTGTTATCGAGAGAACAAAAGGATAGTCCGAGCAAGAGCATATCCGTGTGCCCAAACATACAAAATTGTGCAGTATGGTCAATATCTAAGGTAATAGCTCTTGCCTGTTGCTAAGTATGCTATCTATCAGAATCCAAGATGCATCTCTAATGCCGCCAGAAATGTTTGAAAATTTAAAATTGACACAGAGTCGAAGGAGAAAGAAGAATGAGCCCCCCCACCTGCGGCTTCAAACGCAGAACTCACAAAATCAATTACAATGTTGCCTAGTAAAACACGGGGTCTAGTATCCAGTGGGTGCGCTCCAGCCCGAAAGTGCTCAAACCAGGCCGTACAATGGCCGTGGCAATGCAGAGTGGGTCGAGAGTTTCTGGCCAGATTTAAGCTTCCCGTCTTTGAGACCAATATATGCTTCGCGGCGAGCAGGATTTCCAGTGGTGACGGACCACGTGCGGAGGCCATAGTAGGAGCCGATATGATGGACGAGGAAGCGTCTGTACTCATTAGCAACAGCTCCGCATCTTCGCCCCAAACACAACTCACCCAAAGCTAGCCCCATGATCGTCAGCGGGACTTTCGAAGAGCAGCATTTCGCGCCGTTCGAATTCCCCGCTAGTTCTAGGACTGCGCATATCATTCATCATCCCATTGCGGCCCACGAACACAATCTCCTCGTCTTCAGAGTCCGGCTCCAGCGGAATCCCCTCCTTCGCCTCGCGCTCCAAACGCGTCTTCTCGCGATCTTCCCACCCCGCAACAAACCGACGAACCTCCGTTTCCAAGTTCTCCAGCAAGCTTTTGGCGCCACGCGCGCGCTTCAGCTTCTCGCGTAGCTCCTTGGGAACCTTGCCTGCATTATCAGCGCCCTTGGGCGTCTGCTTCGCGGCGGAGGCCTTCGCTTTGCGCGTAGAAGAGGCGGCCGCAAAGGTGGTATCCCAGAGCGGCGCAAGATAGTAGGGAACGGTACGAACGGGGTACGTAGGGCGGATCTCCCAGTCGTGCGGTTGAGGGGGCACCGCGTGCGGATTGGAGAGGAGACGGTCTGAACGCGTTAACGAGAGATTCATAATGGATCGGAGCGTCTAGCAGTTGATGCTGAGGGGGAACGGAACCACTACGCACCATTCTCCCATCGCTGACGCCGCCGGCTGCCCTCCTTGCCCTTCAACAACGCTTCCCTGCTCTTCATGCTATCACGTCGTATCGGCGCGCGCCGCTTGACGTAGCCGGCACGCACAGCTTCAGCAGCGGAGGCATCGTGGGAGACGGGGTGGTCATCCAGCGGGATCTGGAGGCTGACGCTCGTCCCTGGGACGGAGTGGGTCGCGGAGATGGTGACAGAGCTGAGCGCGGCCGTCGCCTGCTCAGTCCAAGCTTCAATGTCGATGGGAGCTTGAGCTGTAGCTGGAGCCTGGCTGTGGGGCGCGGAGGCTGCAGGATGAATTGCCATGATTGATGACGCGTCTTTCTAGCTGGAAATGAAGGTTGAACGACAGAAATGAGAAGAGGATGCAAATGCAAATGCAAGTGCAAGACGACGCAGGAATGCCTTTCGAGAGCAGGCCCTGTCGATAGATGAGGAGGTAAAAGAGCAAGGAGAGCTGAGGGCGGAGGGGTTCGGGGTGCGGCTCAGATAAAGCTACCATGATAGGGCGGCCCGGGTGACGGAAGCCATGGACCAAGGACTAAAGTCATAGAGTCATTCCGTGCATAAGCGAGACATGTAGAGAGCCAATCTGCTGCCAACGTAGACTGAACAGTCATTTAGGCGTGAGGTACGGTCATGCTGCAAACGCGGTATGAATGAGCCAGTACTGTTCTCTTACCACTTGAACCAAGTGTTGCTTCTAGTGCTGGGCGTGTCAAGTTTGTATAACGTCAGCTGCCATAGAACATGTTTGGCTCTATTCGTATAAGATCTATTAGAGTATCAAAATGATGACTGTAGTGCATTTACTATCAAGGTAGAAACAGTCCAAGTACTCCAGCTCCACCCGTGTCCCAAACTATGCTTATTTCGTATCTATGCTATGTTCCTTGACGGCAAAATATTTACAGCTTAGCAAACACCAGCTCGTACGCCAAAGCCAGCGTCAGCCTTGCGTGCTGCAGCATGTGATCGAAGCTGAGATACTCGATCTTATCCTCTGTCGTGTGAATCTTGTCGTCTGAGTACTTGAAGTCGCTCTCGATGACAAAGGCAGACGGATAGCCGGCCTTGGAGGCGCTGGCGTGGTCGGAGCACGCATACCCACACTTCGTAAGGATGTACGGAATCTCGCAGTAGTCGGTAATGATCTCCTTAATAAACTCGGTCAGACCCGGATCCACAAAATCTGTGATGACACCGACGCTCTCAGGCTCCCCTGCTTCGATGGTCTTGTGTACGTAGCCAGTCATGTCCTGTTGGAGCATGGCTTTGACATTCCGTCCTTCCTTCTCGTACGACTGGAAGATCGCTTGCGAGCCCAGCAGACCACCTTCTTCGGCAGAGTACCAGTGGAACTCGAGCGTGTTTTCGCCCTTGCCCGCGATAATATCCTTCGACATAAGCAGAACACGCAGAGCCTCTAGAATTGTGACTGTTCCGCTGCCATCGTCATCAGCGCCAGGGGCAGCTAGAAAAGCTGGTAGCCATAGGTTGATGCTGTCCTGGTGTGCCCCGATCACAACTGTCTTATCGCTCTTGCCGGGTATGGTGGCAATGATGCTGCTCTGGCCCCATGGATGCTCGAACGGCTTGACGAACGCTCCCTTCTCCAGCGCACCCGCCTCGGACAGGGTATCGTTGACTTGTCCGAGCAGCCATGCTGATGACTGCTTTCCGTAGTCGGATTTGAAGTATCGTGTATGGAACGAGGTAAACTTCTCGAGGTGCTTTCGCATATTCTTCTTTTCCAGCTTCTTGAGTAGAGGCGCGATGGTCTTGTTGTGCGACGTTTTTGAGGGGAAGGTGACGGCTTGGATGCCGACCTTATGGTTCAGGAGACCTAGGTCTTCATTGTCGGTTATGTCGAAGAAGTTGATGCCTTGCTACGGAGTGTCAGTGAATGTTCCTAGATGCCTCAGCGAGTCTTTAGGTTGCGCACCTTTCGGAGCTCCCATTTCTCATGCTCGGTGACATAGTGTCTCTGTCCTGGAGCTAGCTCGATGAGAAATTGCTCTCGCTCTGGTTGTTGAAGCACTGCTTGTTCTATCCGTGGCGCAGCAAGAGCCGTTGTGATTGCCGTGGCATAGAGCGAGAGAATCAAAGGAGACTTCATTCTGTAGGAAATTTATAGAAGAATATGAGAGGGGTGAGGATGTGTTGTATAATTGGGATGATGGATGGAGCTATAGTGATGGCGGAGCTACAGATGACGCTTGGGGTATGAGTTGGCGTGGTGATAGGCGCCTGGAGATAGCGTCATTTATCTCCAGATCTGGGACGTGCTTTGGACGACACCTTGTGCATCCCCGCCATCAACTTCCATCTTCGCAACTTACCTACCATCTCTGTTTCATCTTCAAACTTACGTGTAGTCCATAGAGATGGCCTGACGGCGGCCTCATTAGCGTTCTACCAGCAGCCTTTTACTTGAATAGAACCTCAGAAGTCGTCGCTCAAGGCCAGTCTCTACGAGTGTCAAGCCTAGGTAATTCATCTGATTCTCATATCATTTTATAGTATCCTTGTCATTCTTCAGTAGTCTTCTTCTAGTACTAAAAATGACGATGTTTGTGATGTTTTCCCGTCACTTCCTTCGGGGTCGAAGGCCTTCGCTAATGTCACTAGTCGTTCTAGTAAAGAGACCATGGTCTCCCATAGCTTATCTCTATCTAGAAGAGGATCAATTGGACCGCTATTTGTGAAATCTCCCAACAAGCGACATGCTAAAAACTTCCTACAAACTCATACATTTGTGTCTCGTTTAGACTCCTTGCGGCTTGTGAGAGCAAGCCAGCTTGATGGTTAAAGTATCTTGAATTCCCCAGTATTCCATCACTCCATATCGATTCTACACGCACATTGCCATCATGACCGGCGTTGACGAACTCTCGATTTCGCTTCCCTAGCGGATACTCTAGGTCCGGAGCTGAGAACGAACCTAAAGCGATTCAAGGGGACACTTCTGGATTCGAGACACATCTGAAGAGGATCATACATCAAATGAGTCGCATCGGGGTGCATTACGATAAAGCCGATACTCCAGTTGAGCACTTCGGCCGACATTTGGAAGAGGTTGCCAAAGATGGCGCATGGAATGCAGGGAAGCCAAGCTACTACAAGAGGATATCCTACCGAAGCTGTATCATCGAGTGGAAAGGTTGGACAGGGTGACTACTATACTAAAGAGGTCGCTCAACAATCTCGATAGGCTCTTCTTGTACCTCATATTCCCTGAGTCAAAGACAATTCACTCCACCTCCGGATGAGAACGACTATTGGCTGCAGCTTGGTCAGATGGTTGAAGACGATACACATAGCAGATTTGTGGAGGAACAGAAGAGCGCTATCACTGTTCACTTGTCGACTAAGATGGACCCTTGGCTCAAGAAACGGCGCAAAGAGAAGACCGAAGCGTCAACCGTAATGCCTACAGGTGAGAGGTCTTAGACAGAGCCTTAGCAGTAGGCGCATTGTGTTACTCAAGACGAAGTTGGAGCTATTTGAATACTGTACGTAAAATTTTGACTAGTCTTGAATCGGATGCAACATCTATGGCGCTGGTCCAATTACATCACCTTGAACTTTCATTCCACAACCTCAAAGCCATGAAGTACGAAAACCACAAGCACCAGCAGGTAACAACTCATTAACTGCAATAATGGCGAGTCTGCATTCGCAAGCCAGCACGGTACCTCTCACAAGATTGCGCCATCATTAGACCATATGACCTCAAACACGTGCCGGATTCACCTTACTACCTTGATGCAACTACACTTCATCCAACACTCCAGCTGACGACGCCCCCACCTCCCACTCTCTCACCTCCGCTAGCAATCCTGCCATCAGACCACCGCCACATAAAGGCAATTGAACCGGACGCCACTCAGAATGCCGTTCCTGTATCCTGTCGCCGTATTCTGGCCAGCGTGGTCAAATCCAAAAGCGGATGCAACAACTTCATCTCAGCTTCGACCTCAACGACTTTCCAAAGCGCCATCGCAAGTGGACAAGTCCGCAAACTACTCCACGATCACCTCTGCCGGGTACTCTGTAAATACCTCAACAAAAGACCGCACCCAATCTGATCTCTCCCGTAACACTACTCAACCCACCGACCCCGACCCCTACATGGACCGCCTCATAGGAATCTATAACCTTACCACTACCATCTCCGACTGGGAATTCGCGCTCGCTAAGGTCGAAGCGCTTCGGACTACTACCACTTCTACTCCCGGCACTCAGATCATCGAGTATCTGACGAAGAAGCTCGGCCCGGCCCCGACGCGTGAGCTAGAAAGAGTAAGGGAGAAAAAGATAGAGTTTGAGCGGATGGGAAGAGTAGAAGTCGCGGCGCAGTTGGCGGTGCTGGTGTGGCGGGTTGAAGATTTGCTGGGACGGTTGGAGGGGTTGAGGGGAAAGTAGGGAGTAGGGAGTCCAAAAGGGGATGGGGAATAGAGGCCGCGGAGGATTTGGAAGGGTGTTTTGTTGGTTTTGAGACGGTGAAACGGTCTGGAAGGGCTTTCGAGGCTTAAAAGGGGTATCGAGGTTGTAGCCAGATGAGGTTCGGTATTGGGAGTTCCTGGAATCATGGGACTATACGATACGGGCCTTGGATAGGCATTTGGTCTGACGACTCTACTACGGTAGTCTCAGTCTCTTTTCTCACGGTCGAGGCGTTCACGGTGCGGTTGCACTCCATCAAAGTGGTTCATGGGCATTCGACAGGCGCCGGACTGGGGGTCTAATTTGGACTGAAATCAAAAGCGTACTCTGGAAAGTGGAATGCGTCTGTAGGGCTTCTAATAGTAGGGTAACGCATTGCCAATGACAGTTAAACTCTCTTCTCATAAGTCTTCCGTCAGCTCGTGGATGTTGATTGATCTTGAGTGACTATGGTAAAGCGGCATGGCTTATGGAAAGACTCATTCAGAACAGTTGCGTTGTGCCCAAGTCGAGATCTCCATAGTTGAGAGACTGTTTCCAACTCTCAAACATCTGTAGGTTCTAGTCATTCAAGTAGGACAGTTAAGACAGTTAAGCGTAGTGTGAGAGTCACGTGCTCTCCCCGCGATTGGCCTAGAATCCGGGAAATCATCACCACCAACCACGGGCATTTCATCCCATCAACCACCAAACGAAGGGTGCCGCCCACCACGGTCCAATTACAGTCATGACACCTTTTGCTCTTGTCGCCGAGCGGTTTTACGTTCATCGCTGCTGCAGGGCCTATTCGAATCACATCCCCGCACTGGATGATTCGATAAGGCTGTTTTCAGGCAACAGACTGCCTTGCACTTGGGACGACGTGAGAGCGACTGTGAACGCCGAGCCACCACCTCACTTGACCTCACCTCTGCTCCTGCACTAAGCTGCCAGCCTCGAACCTCCCACCAACCTCCAACAACCATCGTCGGCTTCAACAGCGACACCACCACGCACCACACCCCTCAGCGTAGCTCCAACCTACCCCACTATCACAATGGCTACGCCGCCCAAGTTGACTCTGCTGAACATCCCGCTCGAGGTGCGCCACGAGATCTATGGTCATGTCTGCGAGCGCGACGACGGCCCCAAGAACCTGCTGCGAGACTGGTTCGGCAAGCGCGAGCTGAAGGAGCTCGCCAATGCTGGCCAATCTCTGCCTGCTTCTAATCTGCTAGTTGAAGACGGGGAGGACAATAACGAGGCTGAAGAGGATGAGGAGGATGACGGAGAAGAAGAGGATAAGGAGGAGGACGAAGATATGGAGGAGGCTGAGCCCGAAGACGGCGACGGCGCAGATGGAGATGGCAATGCCACTGCTGCTGCCGATGCTACCGCCACAGCTACCACCACCGCACCAGCTCGCCCCAAGATCTCTCGCAAGTGGCGCCATGTCCCCGCGATCATATCGCTGACTGCGTGCCCTCCTACGGTCTCGATGCTCCAATCCTGCCAGCAACTCCACGACGAGGCTACCGACTTCTACTACAACACCGTCGTCCTGCGCATCAACTGCACCGCCAGCTTCGGTCACATGGCCTACTTCGAAGGCCTCATGAACATCCTCGCGGAGACCGCCTTCTCCCCCGCTGAGTCGTTCCGCAAGATCGAGCTGACCTTTGTCTGGGACTCCCAGTGGCTCGCCGCCTCGCCCGACTACGCCTCCATCTTCGTTGCCTTGTTGCGTGAGCGCGCGCGTCTTGTCGCGAAGGTCTTGGAGCGGACACCCGCCTTAAAGGACCTGACCATCCTTTGGTACGACAGCGTCCAGGACGACGAGAGCTTCATGTTGCGCGAGAGCGTCATTGAGGAGTTCTACCCTCTCCTTGACCGCGTGGAGATGAAGATCAACGACCATTACCCTCTGAAGGAAGGCGAGGAGCCGGGCGAGGAGACCGTGCTTGGAAAGATGCGCTTGCAGCTCGAGGATGTGGCGCAGAACTTCGCTGCTGGCCAGGCTTTCTGACTGCTCTTCAACCCTCACGACATTGCATCTTCCGAACTATAGCGACCTTCGCTGAAGCTTTCGGAGGATGCTCTTATACTTGGAAGCGGGTTGGATGAGTTTTCTTTTCACTATAGCACCATCACGAGGTCTTCTCTAGAGGAAGACTAGGCTTTTCTTTGATTTCATTTCCCATGTCATGACTAATGCACCACGGGGAGATACGGCGTATAGCTAGGGCTAGGATAGCTCAGAGGGTTCATACTCCTGTGATTATCTTACAGAAGACTTGGAAATCGAAATTCTCTTACAATTAATCAAATAATGTGCTACAATCATGATCCTGTGCGTGCTTGAAGCCGCTTACAATAATACCTGGAGCGAAAACATGAGTCACTATTTTGTCATTCATCCCATTTCAAGGCTCATGCTGAATAGTCTGTGCACATGCCCCCACACATCTCACTGGCTCCCATCTCTCCTTCTCACATATATCAAAGGTACCCAATTTAATATCCTAAGCAGAAGTATGCCAGGATTGAATGTCAAACGTGTGGACTAGCTCCCATTTATGCTTCTCAATAGTACAAATATTAACTTGGTCCTTGGGTCTGATTCGGAGCGTGGTGGATGCTGCATGCGCAATAAAGCTATCGAGTAAGCTTCGAGACACTTTCACAGAAGATATGCTCTTTCAGGGCGTCAATCACATGGGCAAGGCTCCGGCTGCTTTCAAGCATCGGGCTGTCTCCCACTCATACAGAGAATAGCCAGCTAGCTTCACAGCATCAATAATAGTCACCATGGGAGTGGAGCGGATATTATGAATTCTTGGGCGTATCGTAGCCTGCCATTGGCATTTCTGAAGAGCGTATGATTCCCGTTCAAACTCCAAGTCATGCATCATGCACTCCAACCCATCCCCGCCATTACGCCACGTAAAGCAAAATGTAGATCTTCCACACTGAATTGACGAATGCGGTGGGCATCGTCCTCAACTCTCCGTCCTGTCGTCGCTGCTCCTTGGCTTGAATGATGAGGCGCGGTTCCATGCTCGCTCGCCTGTAACGCAGTGCTTCTTGATCCAGGGGTGGTTTGGGATCTCATCGAGCGTGATGCGCTTCTCAGGGTCCAGGACTAGTAACTGGGGTCTGTTAGTATTTGCTGGTTCCATGATGGGTGTTTATAGAAATGCTTCTTACCCTCTTAATCAAATCCTTCGCATCCGGACTCACGAAAGCAGGAATAGAGTACTCCACCCTACAAATCCGCCGCTGTGTCATCATCCCCGTATCCTCAAACGGCGCCCGGCCCACCAAGAACTCATACGTCAACACCCCCAAGCTCCACAAATCCACCTTCTCGCTGTAGCTCTTCGCGCCCGTCAGCATTTCCGGCGGCAGGTAGTCCAACGTCCCGCACATGGTCTGCCGCCGGTTGTTGGGCGCATGCACGCTCCACCCGAAATCCGAGATCTTGATCTCGCCATGGATCCCCACCAGGATATTCTCCGGCTTGATGTCGCGATGCATGACGTGCTTCTTGTGCAGGTACTTCAGCGCCGCCGCCATCTGCGCGATGTACTGGCTCGCCTTCCACTCTGGGAACTGCTCCTCGCGCTGCAGGTGCTTGTATAGCTCGCCCTGGCCCGCGAACTCCAGGATCAGGAAGATCCGCTTCGCGTCGTCGAAGTAGCCGTAGAGTCGGAGGATGTTTTGGTGCGCGAGGTGCTGTTGGATCTCGATCTCCCGCCGCACCTGCTTCTCGACTTTGCCCTTCTGGATCTCGTCCTTGTATAGGGTTTTGAGGGCACACACGAAGCCGGTGGACTTCTCTTGGGCGAGATAGACGCGACCGAATTTGCCTTTGCCGAGCGGCCGCCCGATGTCGAACATGCTGAGATCGTACTTGCGGCCGGAGGAGGGCTGGTTGTAGAAGATGGAGTCGGTGCGGCGGAAGGAGGTCGATTCGTCCGAGGAGCGTTGTGCGGCTTGCGAGGGAAGTGTGATCTTGGTTACTGTGGTCGTGCTGGTGAGAGTTTTGCTGGCGGTGCCTTGTTGGAGCTTCTGGAGTGGGATCTTCATTCTGTTTGGGGCGGTGGTGGAGCCGAGGCCGGCGAGGGACATGGCGGTCGAGAGGGAGCCCTTGGGAGATGTTAGAATGGTTTTGTAAGGCCATTGGGTGCTGAGAGCTACCTTGGATTTGTGAAAGGTAGCAGTCGTCGTCTGCTCCTCATTCTCGTCGGCGACGGTAATGCGCTCAAAGGCGCTTTCTAGGCTTGAGACGTCCATGACGAAAGTAGATTAATGATGCCCGTAGAAAGAGTGTCAGTGAACAAGAAGAGAAAAATCGTCCTGCGGCCGAATATTAGAGTGGGTGGAGTGGTGCTCTGGCAGATGATGTTCCCAAGACGTCCGGGTTGAGGTTGTCGCTTGTTTGTCGATCGGCGCGAGGGTTGCTCAAGCAACGATCTTGCACGTGACCCCGGCCAGATCGCGACAACCATGGAACGCCACATCACCAGCACGAAGCCTCCACCCTTCACCGGCTCACCTGTCTTATTATTTTCTATGGCGTTATCGTAAAAGAGCGCATTTGCATATAGAAAGCTGCTAATATGGCGGCATCATTTTCCACCCTCAGTCGGCGCAACGCAAGTACCTCTCATGAGATGGTGAATGACTTATTTCATACCGAATCACTTCATGCGCTTAGGCCCTCCTCTACCGTGGCTCGCTTCCACGGACATTTTTGTCCTCTATATTTAGAGCGTTGTCTTACTTTAGCTTAACTCTGCCCACTACCAAAACAAAGAGCACTTCACCACCAGCACCTTCGAGCATGTCTCTACTCGGCTTACCCCAAGCGCTGCGCGACCAGATCGTTGAATATGTCATCCCAACAACAATCAAACCACACGCATCGTATCCATTCCTGAAGACCTTCAAAGAAGCAGGAAAACTCGTCGCCGAACAAGAGTGCCGCCTAATCTGGCCCAAGAACCCCAAATTCTGGGAGCGAAACTGCGGGCTCCTCCTGACCAACCGTCAACTGCACTACGACGTCAGCAAAAGAGTCCAAAGCTTGCAAATCCCAATCACATACCACCTGGACGTACTAGTCGACCACGAAAGGCTCCTCCGACCGACATGGACGTATATACCGCTCCTCCACAATCGCATTGATACTCTTACCATCACGATGCGCATATCTGGAAGCTGCGGCCGGTACTCATCGACTCCGATACCCACGGTCGCGGAAGAGATCAAGGAGAGGACTCACGCGCCTGCAGGCAGGGAAAGCGGCAGACCGCACGCAATAGCCAATGTACTCCGCGATCTGATTCTGGAAATCTTCAAGAATGGACCAGCTAAAGGAACAGCCAATGGCGGCAGCAATCCAAATAAACCCCTCTCCGTCAATCATCTCCATATAGTCGTCCTCTTACCAGAGAAAGAAACATCAGGTGGCTTTGAGGTTGCCCACGACTGCTCGACCGCTCCCACGATTATCGGTTGGCATAGACTTCAAAACCCATGTCGCGGCGGCTGCGGCGCCAGACCCGACTTGCGACGGAACCTGAAGTATTCGTTAGATTTAATGGTCATTACGGATTCCTTCTTCGACATGTTCTATGATTTTCAGTGTCAAGGCGTCTTTGTCGGCAGGTTCACTGTAACTTCCACACATGATGGAATAAATGAAGTGGAATCGTTTACACTCTCTAATTTCTACCCGCAACTACCGCCGAGCGACAGTATCGCAAATAGCACTTAGGTTATATGGCTTGAAGGAAACAGCCATAGATATCGATTGTCACCATGTCCGCGGATGGGTGGTCAGTCAGTATGATGGTAGACGGACAGATTCTTTCTATACACTAATCCGGCGGAAGAACGGTTATGTATTTCTGTAACACCATACAACTCTTCATCTGTAACCAACTCTCTTTCATCTGTAACCACTTTCAGCTCATCACTAGTCTTCAATCTATGATCAACACACTGGCACACGCCGCTTACACACAGCCCAGTGTTCCTCGCGATCCCCATTCACAGCCGCGCTGCCCTTGCATTTTCTTCTTTCGCGCTCATCAGCCTTCTAAGATACACACTCAACTTCTCCACCCCACTGCAGCCTTTCCCAATTCGCATGTCCAACTATGCAAATTTTTCAGCTGACGTGTTGCTCACATCTTCTTCTTCACGACAGGGTTTTAGTCGAAAGCCCAACCAAATGAACTAAAAAGCGTAACCACAACATATCTACATACTAACACACTAAACACGCATCTCCAGTGTCGTCTCCGCAACCACGCGTCATTTATACCAGAGCCACGTACACCATGCTTCAGGTTCAAGACACACCAGATAGACGGACATTGTGATCGCTACGGGTGGGGGTGTTAGACGGGCTTGTTAGTCGAGTGGTGAAGATTAGAGCAAGAGGGTGGGCTGAGGTGGGCTGTTGAAGTCTGGGGTTGGGGTGGGTTAGCCTTCGATGGGCAGTGTTCTCCGAAGAGCAGTCGCGAGAGAGGTTGTTGGTGAGAAGTTTACGACACGTGTACGGCAGATGGAGCGCCATTTTCTTGCGGAACGTAAGATAACGCGTATGTTTAGGGCACGGCTAATGATTTGAAGTTCACTGCGGTGTTTAAAGACGATTGTGTGGATAGGCTGATTAGCATTGCTGGTGAAGCATTTACGGTTCGCTAAGTGGACCGTAAGGAATTGGGTGGGATGAAGGAGCTTTTGCAGAAGTTCTGCGGTCGGCGGGTCGAAGGATTTCGAAGGCTACCTTTCGAAGGATTTTAAAAGAATCCACAATCCAGAATTCCCTCTCCTCCCCGCCGTCAGTCAGGCATTCATCCCATGTTAGCAATTCCCTATTTTGCATCGCTAATTATGCCGGATCCAACGGAACTCCATTCTCCACACTTGCTCATTTTTCCACGGCGATGGCTCCGACTATACAAGCGAAGCTCCACGTTCTTCCATCCGACTTCCTTGGACGAGCTGCTAGTTAATAAGTAGTAAGCTTGGCCGTTGCTCAATGAAGGAGTTCTGCCAAGACAGTGTCCCGGTTGGCGTGCCAGCGCATCGTCCAAAACATTGATGCCCAAAAGCTAAGGCACGAGGAAATAATAATGTCATGCGTGCTGGGCCGCAAGGTGCGACGATCGTTGGCGATACTCCACTTCAAATACGACAAGAGTCCATGTTATCTGGAGTGCATTGATAATGGCAACCGCCGTCTGGTTTCTTCCGTTCCCGGTTAACGGTATCTAACGAGACGCAGGTAAGCAGGAGTGGGCCACGATTACAGTTCGGTGGGGCGATCGGCTTCCGCTGGGTGGCCTTGAGATGAGAATGAGATGATACAGAGACTCGGAACCCGCGAGCTCGAGGCCTCGAAGCACCTTTATGATGAGCCTCTTCGAGGAAAGCCTTCATCGAGACAGTGGTTATTTGAGAGGTTGATGGTCGCCACTTCGATAGTGCACTCAATAATCATGGCTGGCAGGCTTCAGGACTCGGATGCCTCCGGGCCAGTCGATGCCTCGCGAGCATGGATGCCATGGCCTGAGAAAACCTGGAAGGAAAGACAAACTGGAAAAGAAGCGGAGCGTTGGTCCGTCTGGCGGCAGCAATATGGTACGAGAAAAACACTGGATCACGACGAGGGTGGGTGAGAGAGCAGGGCAGATGTCAGCCTCCTTACGGTACCTACCTACGTGGTGAGCCACGCGGTGGCTTGCGGCTCAACTGCCCAGCTGCCCAGCTGCGGTGCAAGCTGCGAGATGCAACGGCACATCGCAGATGCAATTCTGACAAGGCCCCAGTCGCAGTGAGCATGGCACTCGGCAGGCGGCACGCTGGCCTGGTGGTAACGTGGAGTGTGATGGCGGCGACGGGAGGTTGGTGTGTCATCCCGAACTGAGCGAGAATCGTCGGGATGCTAGCCGCAACGGGCTTCGCGAGCGCTCCGCCTCCAAAAATAGCTGCGTCCTCGCGCCACGCCATCACTCCACGCCATCCACTCCCGTCACTGCATCGCTCCACTCCCAGGCCTCACCGTCCCTCTCGCAGGTTCCCTCAGCAACTCCACCGCGAGCAGCGCCGTGCGCGGGCTCATCGCCGCCCTGCCCTCCACATGCAGACTCCCCGTCATCGCTCCCGTTCCATTCTTAGCACCCATGTCGCCTTGCCCTCGCGGCCGTATGCTGGCGCATGTGGCAGGCTGTGCAGGGAACAGTCTCAAATCAGCTATCCACGCTATCGATGCACCGTATTCTTCGGTTTTTGCCTCCATCATGGCGAACCGCACTGACTCTGCTCGTAATGTGACAAACCCTGGACACTACTAATCTGGGATCAGCTGTGGAAGTCTCTCGACATGCGACCATGTCTGATATAAAGCACCCTTCCGTCCAGTGCTCAGTCCATTCCTCATCCTCACTCAACAACATTAATTCACCATCGTTTCTTTACTACATTCGCTTTCCCATTCTTCAGAAAACACAGTCGCTTCTCCAGATCAGCTCAGTCTTTCGACCAAGTCCATCTTCAGAATCACCAGTACTTAATACACCAAACCTTATCAAGCACAAACACTCCAACCCCCTTCGAGATGCGTTCGGTCTCCTTGGCTCTCGCCGCTCTGGTCGGCGCTGTTGCTGCCAACCCAATCGTTGAGTGGCCTCGCAACGGCGGCTATGGCCAGCCATACCCAACCGGCGAGTCGTCCTGGTCCTCCTCCGCCTCGACTTCCGCATACACTCCATCTTCAACTCCATCCTCATCTCCATCTTCGTCTCCATCTGCCTCCTCTACTCCATCCTCATCAATCCACTCGTCGTCCTCGATCATTTCCAGCTCGTCATGGGGAGGATACAACCATCCTTCATCATCACTGGCCACGGGCGTCTCCAGCTCCTCGGTAGGAGGATACAACCATCCTTCATCATCACTGGCCACGGGCGTCTCCAGCTCCTCGGTAGGAGGATACAGCCATCCGTCTGCACCACTGTCCACGGGCGTCTCCAGCTCCTCGGCAGGAGGATACAGCTATCCGTCTCCACCCCTGTCCACTGGCGTCAGCACCGAGGTCCTCACCACTTACGTGACAACGACCGTCTGCCCAGTAACACAGACCTCTGGCACGAAGGTGATCATCACAGAGACGACCTCGACTATCACTGTCACTTCTTGCAAAGAGGGATGCCATCACTCCGCGACCGCGACTCCTTCCAGTGTCCCATACCCCACCGGCGCGAGCTCGTCCAAGCCGCACTACCCTACCGGCGGCGTAAGCTCTTCTGTGCCGCACTACCCTACCGGTGGACACTCCAAGCCGCCGCACCCAACTGCACCAATCTCCACTGGTGCTACTACCGAGACTGAGACTCTGACTACCTACACGACTACAACGGTCTGCCCGATCACAAAGACTGTAGGGACTCAAGTCATCACAACAGTGACGACTTCGACCATCACGATCACCTCCTGCAAGGGCGGCTGCCACCACTCGGCAACTCCCACTCCTAGCTCCTGGGCTTCTGTCGTCACGCCGCCATCGCACTCAGGCCACCCCGTCACAGTTCCCACGATTATCACGACCGTCTACACCAGCTTCGTGCCCTGCTCCACGTCTGTCGGCAACAACGGACACTCTGAGGTCTACTCCACCTACCTGACTCCCACCTACATCACCCAGACCTACAGCACTGAGACCGTTGTCTGGCCAACCGAGACACCTGCTACTCTGCCTCCGGGTGTTCCAGTCGAGTCGTCCACCTATGCCCCGGTGCCTCCTCCAGCTTCGGTGACGCCAGCCACTCTTCCCCCGGTTGTTCCTGTCGAGTCCTCCACCTATGCCCC